TAATCAGTTTAAACAGCTGAGTCCTTGTTTTTCTTATGTTCTACCAAAAAAATGTACTTGCCTAATTAATAATGAGTTATTCAGAAACTCAGAACAGAGCGATTTACTGTTTCTGGTTTGGAGGGCCGACGCCCGATTCTATACCTGTTGGTATCGATTTTGTCTGATTCCAAGTTGTCATAAATTCTGATATGGGAGAAAAACTTCAACACGAAAGACCGATTGTTGCTAGCATGATGTAGCATGTAGCGTATTCCCAGACCGTTAAAGTTGTCCAATTCAAATGTTTTTTTTATAGAGAGCCTAAGTCACTTCTGCATCACAGGTCCTCGGAAGAACGAAAAAAATAACGCAAGTCAACGGGGCTAAAACACTATTTTCTAATCCGCTTTGCCGTACGCCCTGGATCACACGTGTTGAACTGCAATTTAAATGAAAAGTAATGATGGGTGTTTCGACCACGCCAGTGACGTACTTTGAGATTTATCAGCTTGTAAAAGTTCGTAATTAGCATGACTACAAACTAGAAATCGGCACGTCGCATATGGGACGTCACCACAGAATCTCCTCCCCCTACCGTAGCTTTTGCTTACCACATGACCAGATTTATGGTGGTTCTTTCCTCCTGTGGGAAGTTTGCTGAACTTACAGCCCTTTACCCTCAGTTTTCTCCGTGTCTGGTTCGATGGCGTCACTTTCGTGAAGCGCATTTGTAGTCCTGGACTTATTTTCACACAAAACTTAAAAGATCGTTCCCCACTTGTTGGAAAATAAGCACGTTCTTGGTATCAAAATGCGTCTTTAGAATTCACGGACATCATATGTGAAATCCATGGCACAAAACAAGTGGAATTAGAAAATAGCGTTTTTAGGCCCGTTGCATTCATTTTTCCGTTCTTCCGGGTACCCGTGGTGCAAAAGTGACTTGGGCTCCCTATTGCTGCCAAAGTAATTATTTAGAATTCTACTCAGTTTATACCAGTTCTACACCAGTTTTAACTAGTCATCTCAAAGCACTGAACAAAAAAATTAAGGAATCCCAGTCATCTCAGGTCCAAATCTGAGCCAATCAGGAGTCAGACTGATCAGCTGATCAACAGTTGGACTAAAAAGGTAGAATTTTGACGGATTCTGATGGCCAAACGTTTTTGTGCATTTCTATTTTTTTGGAAAACGTTTTTCAAAAATGAGCAAAAAAGTAAAAAAAAAATTAACGGGTCTTTGAATTGGCAGTTCAATAAAACTCTTTCCTGTAGTTTTTTTTAACTTCCAGAATCACAATTTTAGAGTGAATCGGAAATCCAATGCGTCCGTCTTCCTCCACCTATCTGGGATCGGGTCGAGGGGGCAGCAGCCTAAAGCTTGGTTTATGCTTGACGCATTCACTTTCCGCTTGGTGATGCGGCTCGCGGATGGAACGCGCTTCACAACTCGCAGCGTTTATGGTTCATGCGGCTTGTCTCTGCGGTGAGCCAATATTCTCCCAAACTGTAGGGGGCAGCATGGAGCTCTACGGCATGCATCCAACACTACACCATAGTAGAAGTAGAAATTACTGTTGTTTACAACATGGCATTCCAGCATTTTTAACAGCGTCCTCGTCTTTTCCGACAGTGTGAGCTATTTCTCTCCAAGAATTATTAACAACATGTTGATCCCGGTGATCTCTGAGAGCTGAATCATACAAATGTCTGTATTTACGAACCTCTGCCATACTAGTTCTTGCCGGTCCGGTGGAGGGCCGTGGTTTTTAAAATGACGCAATTTCGCCGCGTTGAGTCGTGCGGACCTCGTGGACGCGTCAAGCATAAACCAACCTTAAGCAGACACCCAGATAAACCGGTATCGGCCCTAACAAACCCAGGATCGGTGCACCTCTGCTTCCAAGCAGCCAGGACGTCCTGGAGTCTGTTTTTGGACGTTGGCTGCTTTTTCACCCGTTTTCTATTCTTTTCCCAGAATATATTGTAATTAATGTTTTTTTTTTATTTTTATTTTTTTACTCCGACATTAAAACCCTAAACTCAGTGAATGATGGATCTTTAAAAAAGTTTTGGTTAATGTTGGGATGGGTTTGAAACCAACTGAAGAGCTTCCTGTTTAACTGGGAAGCAGTGATCTGGTACTGGGAGCCCGTGGACCTTTCCTCCTCAACAAACACATCTCACTGTGTGACGTCTTCACACAAAGTCAACACAATTAACAGAACTAACTATGTCACCTGTACAAATGGGACTCTTTTGGGTTTATATGATACAGCCAAGAGTTTGTGTCAGAACTAGTTTTGTCTCCACAGATGTGGATTAGATGGCATCTATGTTTGTTTACTTGTTTACCAGCACCCAACAGAAACACCAGGGGTTATGGAAGCTCCTGGCTGGTTTTATTATTGATGGAAAAAACACCAAAACAAAACAAAATCTTTGGTTGGTTAAATTTGTGTGGATTACGTCACACCCAAGCTGCACGGTTAGAACTTTCCCTGACTTTAGGTCGGCGGGGCGTTAATCAGCAGCTGCTCAGCCGAGCGTAACCGAGCTGCAGCGAGGAACGACGCATAAGAACAAGTTTTACTCACAAAACCGCAATCAGTAAAGTATGTTTTTCCCTAGAACGAAAACTTATATTACATAATAGGACAGGAAGACTCGGCTTGTTGTGATAAAATTTGATCTAAAGGAAGTTTTTGAGCAGGTTGTTTTCTTATGAAATGAGATGTTTAAGCTTCAGAAATGTTGAATCTTCATTAGTGAGAGAAAATCACGACGAGGGATTAGATAGACAACACATCACTCAACATCTGAACCCAGGAGCAGAGTCTTTTCCACCCTGTGAAGATGTCACTAAAGGTGCGTTCAGTCTGCTGATTGGTCAGATCTTTTGGGGGCGGGGCTACTAGAAGTTTGTGTGTTCTGATCCGGAGCTAGCTAACAACGTTCTCCAACCCCCTCCCTGAACCGTTCCCGAACTCTTCAGTGGTTTTCTGAGTCAGAGCTGATGAATCTGGTCATCGGCACAAACAGCGGTCAGCTTGCTAACCTGAGCCACCTGTTCTGATGGGTTCTTCACCTCCGCATCCTGATGAGATTCCTGTGTTTACACCTGCTCAGGGGACCCGAACCAGGGAGAACGGACCGGGGTTTGGTTTAAACATGCTGAACTGTGCAGGTGTGAAAGGCCCGAAAACTGAGAAAACATGTTTTTTTTAGTTAATATTTCGTTCTGATGAAACAAACGTTTTCATTTAATGGTTTTAAAACATGAGTCTTTCTCCGTGAAACCTCGGCGTCTGAGGTCAGCTTTCAGGGCATTTACACCAGAACGGCTTCAGTTGCTTGACGTGTACATTTTTCACCGTTTACTGACGTTGGGATTTTTTTAATGGGCTCATTTTATCTGATTTAATTATTTACTGAAGTTAAAGAGTTCCTCTCAGAGCAGACGGGTCGGCCTCTGCAGGGGCGAGGGTTGCCGTGGAAACCTCCCAGCGATGCGTCAGCGCTGCTTGTGGAATTCCTCGAGCCGGTTTCCTCCTATTGTGGCCTGTTGGAGAGACCCCCACCCCCTTTTTCTCCCTCTCTTCCTCTGAGGTGGAACAACAGGCCACACACACACACACACACACACACACACACACACACACACACACACACACACACACACACACACACACACACACACACACACACACACACACACACACACACACACACACACACACACACACACACACACACACACACACACACACACACACACACACACACACACACACACACACACACACACACACACACACACACACACACACACACACACACACACACACACACACACACACACACACACACACACACACACACACACACACACACACACACACACACACACACACACACACACACACACACACACACACACATTAACCACAGAAATGTTGTTTTAGTTTACTAGAACTCTAAACTAGAGCAGGTTTAATCTTTTATTTAAACAAAACTCTTCAGTCTTGGTTTTTTCCATGTTTGAGTCGTTTATTTTTGGCCAGAATTTCTTCATTTCTGCTGGAACAACCATGAGAAAGTCATAATGAATACGAACATCACCCTGATGCCTCTAATCTGATTGCAACAGAGCCGAAGCGTAGACAGGAGCTTCCCTCCGTGTCGGGTCTGCGCTCCGTTTGGTTTAATACAGCTTAGCCTCTAAAGCCCCAGAAAATCATTTCATTTTTCATCTCCTGAATCAGTCTTTATCAGACCTACGTCATGAAAAACATAAAATGTGTCATTCTGAATAATAAAAGGTGAATAAATAAATTCTGGATAAGGACACAAGCTCCACAAACCGATTCCGAAGTGTTTCCAGAGCTCTAAAGGACTCTGAGATTCCAACTGGACCTGATCCCACAGCTGGTCATGTTAAAACCACGAGTCATGAATAAAAACTGCTGCATCATCTGTAAACAGATGGCAGCAAACCTCCCCGGTACAGATTTATGACAGTTCTGCACCTGTGCTGCTCCTTGTCTCCTTTTCTGGGTCACTTCCTTAACACAGATTAGAAGATCTGAGGAAATCGATCAACTAGAAGACATGAACAGGATTTTTATAACAAATATTAAAAGAAAAGGTATCTGATTTTAATCTGCTTTGTTGCTTTTTGAGTCTTAACAGCTGTTTGGGTCTCTGAAGCCCACCTCCTCCTCTCAGAACCCTTTAGGTATAAAAACCCAGATTCTTCGGTCTGGTTATCAGAACCTGCTGAAGGATGGAGCTGACTCTCTAGTCAATAATGGAGCAAAGTCGTCATTAAACAAGTCGTCTAGGTGGACTGGTACCGGACTCTCTGGGACTTTTAATCATGCTGGGTCCAGGTTGTGTTCAGAGGTGCTTTAGGACCGACATCTGCTTTGTTTAAAGGTTTTCTGTCAGAAACTGGAACCAGTTTTAGACCACCTGGCTCGGTGATGAAGTTGGGTTGTTTGGTTTTGTTTTCTTCAGGCAGACGAAGCCTTTGACGTTCGCTGACTGCATCGGAGATGAGCTGCCGGTCGGATGGGAGGAGGTGCACGATCCCGTTGTGGGGGCGTACTATGTCGACCACAACACCAGTGAGTCGTTGCATTCACTATTGTAAACAGCAGAACGCTAAACCAGAGCACGAAGTCTTCACAGTTGTGTGTCTTGTCCTCTTGCTTCAGAGAGCACCCAGCTGGAGGACCCGCGGGTCCAGTGGCAGCTGGAACAGGAAGCCATGCTGCGGAACTACCTGTCTGTGGCTCGAGACGCGCTCAGCGCCCAGAAGGAGATCTACCAGGTGAAGGAGCAGCGCCTGCGGCTGGCGCAGCAGGAGTACCAGCAGCTCAACGATGCCTGGAGGGACAAGTCCACATCACAGACCAGCTGTGAGTTCTGATGAGGAACCGGGTTTGGTATCAGGGAACACCTGGGAGGTGACGAACAAGCTCACCGGTGTTTGTTTAGGAATGATCATGAAGTTTTGTCTCTGGTTCTGATCCAAGTCAGCTTAGAGTCTGCTGTATTTTCTTACAGCACAAACATCAGAAGTATATTAAAGTTATTAAAATCAGTACATGTGAGTTTCTGTAGAGGATCACAGCGTAGGGAGACATTTCATCTACACGATACTTCCAGATCACACTAGGGCTGCAACGATTTGTCGACGAATACCGACAATAGAAATGGTCGACAATGAATTTCATTGTCGACGTTGTTGCCAGATGTGTGTTTTCCGACCGAGTGAGGCATCTCACTTCATTACAATCTCTGCTGAGAGTCGCACGTGCGCAATAGCTTCTCTGCTGAGCGCCAACTAACAGAAATGCCATCGTCCAACACGGCAGCTATGCGTACCAAAACATCAAAAGTTTGGGAGCATTCTAGCCTGTACTCGTCGTCGTCTTCCTCCGCTTATCCGGGTCCGGGTCGCGGGGGCAGCTTCCCAACTAGGGAGCGCCTGTACTCGGCGAATAAAAAGATTAACTGCATTATTTGCAAAGCAGTCCTCGCGTATCACGGCAGCACCTCGGTGGTGCATGAACAGTTAAAGAGAAAGCACGTCGGACAGTTGAATGAAACAGAGTCTGACTCTCCTCGGTAAGATTTAAATAACACGAAAGCCAAAACGTTTAGTTTTCCTTTATTTAAACGTATTTTCGCTTTTAGAAAAAGAGATTTAATGTTATGCCCGACTGTGTCTGACAAAAGTATTTTAATTTATTTGATGCATTTATGTTGTACTGACTGAGCACTGTGCCTAACTGGTGTTAGACAGGGTATTTTTATTTACTGTTAGTATGAATCGTCCTATCAGCAGCAAAGTTCAATAAAATATGCATTTTCCATTGAAGTACCCATCTTTCTTGTGTTTATTATCATTTTTCACACAATTAAAGCAATCTCATGCTAAATTTAAGAAAAATGTAATAATTATCCGATTAGTCGACTAATCGTTTCAATAGTCGCTGACTAGTCCACTATTAAAATAGTCACTAGTTGCAGTCCTAGATCACAAGGCTCTTCATAGGGCTGGGCGATATGGCCTCAAATCTATATTGCGATATAATGTGAAGCATGTGCGATTAGGATATATACTGCGATATATATGTTTTCCTTTGTTTATATATGTCAAAATGACATGCTTTAAAAAATCCTCATATGGAAAACATATTGCTGCAGAATAAAGACGTCCAAAAAGTGTAGAATGCTCCTCCTCCGCCCGCTCCATGCTTGCAGTCACTGCCATTCTGTTGTCCCAGTGTCGGCGCGGATGCACATCTTAGTGACGTCATGTGTTATCGCGGTCGAGCCAAACACTTATCATTACCCAATTTTATATCGTTGATATTGCCCCCCCCCCCCCCCTAGCTCGTCCTAAATCACCGTTCATGTTTGGATCTGCTCTCCGCTGACCCGTAAACACCGGCTGGTTTTATTAACCAGTGTTTACAACCAGCTTTCAAACACTGCTTATAAACTGCAGCGGCTCTCTGGCTTTAACGGCATGGCTGAAACCACACAAGCCGGTAGCGCGATGTTAGCCAATCCGCTCACATTATTCCTGCTAATCGGAATTTGAAATGGAGCATTTTGTCTAAACTTAATCTGAATAAAAGTAGAACTAACTTAGAGATATTGAACATGGTTTTAACGATCTTGACTGGTTGTTGGTTTCTTTAAGCCCAACTCCAGCTCCTGATGGAACCAGCTCAGCGTAGATTTGGTGACGTAAAACCAGAGAGAGTAGGCCAGCAATAGAGGTCACGCGCGGAGTGTCGGATATTTTAGGGCAAATTAGGATATTTCTGTTTGTAGTTTTTACAAACAACCTGCTGACTGTTGTTTATAGGGATGCAAATTGGTGAAATTCTGGTGATACAACATGTACCACGATGTATTGCGATACATTTGATACAGATGATATTAATGAGTTTTTTTTAGAAATACTTTATTGTAGGAAAATTCAATAAACAGTCCAAACTGATACTTACACAGCAAGTCGCCCCCTACCAGAGTATTACTCCACTCCCACTTCCTGTTTGAAAAATGCAACAAATGCAGTTGCCTGGCAGACTGAGAGGGCGGAGCCGCTAATAAACACACACACACACACACACACACACACACACACACACACACACACACACGCACACACACACACACACGCACACACACACACAGACAGGCTCACAACGACATTGTTACATCATATTGTACCAACTAAAGTCATAGTGTACCTCTTAGCCAATAGCGATGGCAGATTTATATTGGAATGTGGTGCAGAGGTTTTACCTGACGATGGCACAACACCTGACAGTTTTAGGCAGATCATTTAAAGTTGAACCGAGATGCACTAAAGTGCCAACTTATCAATTACACGTGTCTACAACACTTTTAGACACTCATTTATACAGTTTATCAGCAAAAAACTGTTGATTTGGGGGTGAGTTGCTCTTTAACATGTTTAACATGCGGTGTCTGAACCATAACAGAGGGGTTTACATTTCAATGGTGGAAACAAACCCAGTTGCACGCTAGTTATGTGTTTGAATTGCACCAAAAGAAAAGAAAATACACAAATGTTTGCATGTAAATACTACCAAAAAAAATCAGTGAACGGTTTTTGAATATCAGTATAATATTGTCGGAAAAATATCATGATATATTGCCATATCGATATTTTCTTACATCCCTAGTTGTTTATAAGTTCTTTATAAAGATTTATTGTTTTTTTATTCTTTATGTTTTTTTTTACAGTGAATTCCAGATCTTCCACTTCCAGCAAATACGACCCGGAGATCCTGAAAGCGGAGATCGCCACAGCCAAAAGTCGGGTAAGAGCCTCCTGATCATGTTGTTAACTATGGCGCGGTATGGGGGCCAAAATGAAGACTACTGCCCAGCAGCAGGAGGCTATATAAATTCCGAAGCAAACTACTGATCTTATTAATGATAAGCTGGCGCCAGTAACCGAGAGGCTGGCGCTGCTGACTGAGGAATATCACATTTACCGGCGTTACTACTAGATACGCTAGGGACTAGCAGCCCTCGGCTGGTCATTGACTGGTTCAAACACTCCATCTGCTGTCTATTAGCATGGATAGGCTAGCGTTAGCCTGGACGGGTTGGTGTTAGCATTGGAGAGGCTAGCCATTAGCGTGCCTAGGCTGGCCACTAGCTGACTAGTGATTCTCTGAGACATGCTAATGGCTAGCCTCTCCGACGCTAATGCCAGCCTATCCATGCTTAAGGTCTGTCCAGGGGGTAGGAAATCCAGCTAGTGGCATGCCTAGGCACGTTAATGGCTAGCCTCTCCGATGCTAACGCCAACCCGTCCAGGCTAACGCTAGCCTATCCATGCTAATAGACAGCAGAGGGAGTGTTTGAACCAGTCAATGACCAGCCGAGGGCTGCTAGTCCCTAGCGTATCTAGTAGTAATGCCGGTAAATGTGATATTCCTCAGTCAGCAGCGCCAGCCTCTCGGTTACTGGCGCCAGCTTATCATTAATCAGATCAGTAGTTTGCTTTGGAATTTATATAGCCTCCTGCTGCTGGGCAGTAGTCTTCATTTTGGCCCCCATACTGCGCCATAGTTAATGAAAAGATGAGTCTGTGGTTTAGATCGGGTTTCTGTCTCACCGGTGAATCGTAACCAGTCACACATGTGCAGAACATTTTAACTAAGAGGTGAAGATACTTCCTCCAGTGAGAAGTTTCAGCTACTCAGTTAGATTTCTCAGTCAGCAGGACCCAAACGAAACATTCAGATGGAATATTTTAGATTCCCACAAAGATCAGCCATTTAATGTCAGAAAATAAGGACACCTGTGTTAAATAAGAATGTGTGTCTTTAAAGGCCAGACAAATATGAAAGGATGTCAGCTGCAGGTCGCCATCACCTAAAGGATGTCTCCTCTCTCAGGTCAACAAGCTGAAGCTGGACCTGGCCTGCATGAAGCAGGAGCTGCAGTTTAAGGAGCAAGGCTTTGAGACGCTCCGAGAGTAAGTGTTTCAGCACACACACGCACACACACGCACACACACGCACACACACGTGATGTGCGGGTTAGGGTTCTTTTAAACCCGCAGGTACCGCAGATTTGATCACGTCTGACCCGCACCAAACCGCCCTTCATCACTAGGTCTGTTATTACAACCCGCGCCGCCTCATCAAAACTCGTTATTGATGGATTGTGCTTTTATTCAGACAAAGGTGCGTTAAACAGGCCCCCAAACGGGCTCTGGAAAATGGTAGTAACGTTTACATTTACAAAGGCTAAAATAAAGAATAGGCAGATAAAGGAAGTTTAAAATTAAATGGGGTTATTTTTGTTTGTTACCCTACTAATAAATGGTAAAATGGTAAATGGCCTGTATTTGATATAGCGCCTTCTAGAGTCCTGGAACCCCCCAAGGCGCTTTACAACACAATCAGTCATTCACCCATTCACACACACATTCACACACTGGTGGGGATGAGCTACGATGTAGCCACAGCTGCCCTGGGGCGCACTGACAGAGGCGAGGCTGCCGAGCACTGGCGCCACCGGTCCCTCCGACCACCACCAGCAGGCAACGTGGGTTAAGTGTCTTGCCCAAGGACACAACGACAGCTACAGACTGAGTGGGGCTCGAACCTGCAACCTTCCGATTGCGGGGTGAGCACTTAACTCCTGTACCACCATCGCCCACTAATAGTGCAATAAACCAATACAAGAACAGCCCCTAGAGCCCCTGCTTGGGCAAACAAAACAGTAAACCTTTTACAACTTTTATCAAACATTTTGAAAGCAAATAAATATGTCCTTGTTTTGTCTGCGCTGATTACCTCGCTGAATCTTTCCCAAACACGCAATTTAGCAGTTTGTCCCTCCTTTCTTTTAAGAATGTAAACTCCCGAATGAATTTTATCCAAAATATTGTCCTCCATCGTTCTGTTGATGTGGCTGCCTGCCACCTGCTTGGAGCTTAGGCGCACTTCACTGGCGAGTTCTGTATGTGCCTACGTCATGGGGTCGAAGGTTATCTGCGCTGAGTTATGTTTTAAAACGTGACCGTGTTTAAATAAATGTCTTAAATATTGTGTTTTACAAAATTAAGCATTGCTTAATGCCTTTATCCTCAGTGTGCACATATATATAAATATATATATAGATATTTATATTTATATATATTTTTTATATATATATATATATATATATATATATATATATATATATATATATATATATATATTTCATGAACCCCCTCTCAAACCACACCGCACTGACGTAAAAATGTATTGACCCGACCCAACCTGACCTGTGGTGGGTTGGAAGTCAATCCGCGCATCACTAACACACACGGGCGCTGAGGGAAACAAGTTTCTTACGGCAGACTTTAGCTGCAAACTGTCAGAAGTCAAAAGTATTTTACAGCATTGTAAATCAGAGGCGACGTTACCATGGATACGGATCTGAATAATAGAAGAAAAAAAGAAAGCAGTGAAACGCTCTGGTTTAACCTAAATAGTCTGACGTTTGGTGAAATGTGGGTCAAGCAGCTCAAAGTTCATCTGTGCGTTTGCTGTGGGAACTTTTAAAACATGGTTCCTTTTGTTTTTCCCCGAGGCCTCCACCCTCTCCAGAGGAGTGGTGTGTGTTTGTGTGTGTGCGTGCGTGTGTGTGTGTGTGGCTGCATTCCAGTCTGAACCCATTTCTGAAAACACTGATTGGTTGTTGAACGCCGTCTGACATCTGCAGCCGGAGAGGAAAGTCATGTAGGAATGTTGTCCGACGGCTCCTTTTAATCCTCCGACTGTGTCCCAGAGTGGCATGAGGCAACAAAACAGGACGACATTCCTGTTCAATCAGCGTCTGACGGCACCCGGCAGAGGACACGAAAAATGTCCCAGACACTTGAGAGGAGCTGACTTGATTCTGCAGACAAAGGTCGGAGCGTTTCCTCCACAGCGTCCAGGCGTTTAATAATCCAGGGGAACGTGTGACTGCTGGAGCGATAGCGGGAGCCATAACCAACACTTTCACACCAAAGTTACGGTTCCTGAACAGCTGCTGGGCAAATTCCAGCATGTGGAAGTCCCGCCTCGTTTATCTGGGACCACGTGATCCAGTTGGAAGATGCCAGAAGAAAGAGCGATTATAAAAATAACTGTCGATTTAGCCGCACAAAGCAACTTTTCCAGTGACGTAAAACAGGATTTATCAGAATGAGGAAGCGCTGATTGAGTCGTGATCAAAAGATAATTAGACAAATGGCTGGAATGTTGAAGATGTTGACGTTTTAAGCTCCGCCCACCTCAACATAAATCAATGGGACTATGTCCTGATGAACACATTAAAATTCCACTCAGGTCTCTTTATTCAGGTGTGTGTGTGTGTGCGTGCGTGCGTGTGTGTGTGTGTGTGTGTGTGTGTGTTACTGTAAAACTGTTGTTCAGGTGATAAAAGGATCCCAACTGCAGCCTCGGAGGACAGGAGGGATTAGTTGTTCCCGCTCCCTGTTGCAGACTAGTGCCTCCCTCTCTCCTTCACTTCCTCATTCCTTCTTGTTTTCTCTCTCCCTCTCATTCAACCCCCCCCCTGAAGAATGTGGACGGGCTGGTTATTCAGATGAACTCATGACTTTGTTCACGTCAGATTTTTCTGTAGCTGCTGCCTCCGACGGCCACTTTCCTGCAGCTTGTTCTGCACGATCTGTATGTAAAGTAATCAGTATGATGTAATGTAAATAATGTAATATAACTGTTAAAGGTAACGACCCCTGTTGGAGCTGAGTTCACACACATCCCAGCTTGTCATTGGAGGGTAAATCCGGTGGAACAGAAGCTAAATAAAAGGTGTCGGTGGTAATATTGAGACTCCTGTTGAGTCGTTCTTGGTCAACGCCACGAGGAGCCACTTCAGACGGATAATGAGTTTGCATTTAATATTTCTGGCTCCATCAGACCTCTGACTAAACATTTATCAGTTATCCCTCTCGTCCTACAGGATCGACCAGAAGGTGTCCAACAGTCCGTACGGCTACAAGCTGCAGGAGGCGCAGGCCATCCTGAAGGAGGTGCGGTCCATCCGAGACACCATCAGCTCCGGGGAGAAGGAGAAGCAGGAGCTGATGCAGGTGAGACCCGAGGCTGGATGTGAACACAGGAGCAGCTGGGTTAGCCGGTAGTTTGCTGTGGAGCCGGTTTAGGGATAGGGAGTGAAAGAGCAAATATTCCTCCTCCAAACAGGGAGAGCATCCAGAGAGAGCTCTGTAGGTCTGAGCACACCGACACGGTGCTGGGCTGGAGAGGAAGCTGCTTGCTTGTGTGTTTGGTTTGATTCTGATATCAGTGTGTGATAAAAGCATCAGTCCGAGTCGGTCTCGCTGTGCTGCCGTCTGCGGGGTTAGCTAGCGTGTGAGCGGTGGAGCTGGACGTCGGAGCTCGTTGGGCGTGTTTCAGTGTGGATCTGTTTTATTTGGAGTCGAACAAACAGAGTTTTTTACATTTTATTGTCTCAGTTTAATCCTCACAGCTGCATTTAGGGTTTTCATCGTCGTGATTTAATTCCATACTTATTTACCTGCTGGTTTATTTATTCTGTTTATCTGATTATTTCCCCCTTTATTCGTTCATTTATTCATTTATTTGTCTAATAGTTTTCATAAATGCGTTTAACTAATTCACCGATGGATTAATTCATCTTTTAGATTCGTTATTATTTATTTACTTTCATGAATAAGAAATTCTGTAAACGAGAAGCCAACATTAGAGCCTTTGTAACTGGATAAAACCTCTTTATAAGCTCCTTATTTTTCCTACCTCTGAAATTAATAAATAATTATTCATTTGAAAGTTTTGCTTCAAAGCTGCTTTTATGAGTCCGAGTCAGTCGAGTCGAGGCTCCTCTGCTGCTGATGTGGTTTTTGGTATGAGTATATTTGGCAGCATCCGTCCCTCTGCAGGTGTCAGACCGACCCAAACCAGACAGAACCAACAGAACCAGGATAATGAAGTGTAAAGCTCAGATTTATGATGAATGTTTGAGATGGAAGGACGGTTTTACTGCTCCTTCTCTTCACTCTGGGAGGAGAAACGAGTCCCTACAAGAGATCTGGGGACGTTTTAAAGCCTCGCTGTTGTCCTTGTGATGACCGCCGTTAGGGTTCAGGCAGAACCGCTGATGGAGCCCATCTGTGAGGACCTTCAGATGTATGGCTGCAGAACTGAAGACCCAGCAGGACTTTCATGGTGGAGTTCTCCGTGTTGTCTTGTTGCCGATCCTGCTTGTGGTCTTCATGGCTGAGATCTGACTGGAGAAGGTTCGGTTCTGTTACTGATGGGTCAGAGCTCCTCCAGGGCTGAGCCCCCGGTTCTCAACAGGAAAGTGTTTGCTCGTGAATCTCCGTCTGTAGGGTTCTCCAGCACAGCCCTAGAGGTTAGGGGAGGAGCTTCATCGTCGTCAGAAGACCTCCTAGTTGTCAGGTGAAGAGTGGAAACCCTGTTAAGTGTCCTCCCTGGACAGAGAACACCTTTCCTGGACCGGTCACCCCCATGACCTGATCTTAGATGAAATAAAGAAGGAGGGATCGGTGGATGGAAGGATGGAGGGTTAGTAGGATGGATTATTACAGGAAGATGAGGTGGGAGCTGCTGTCAAGAACAGCCAAAGATGAGAAAGAACCAAGCCTTGTCTCTGGTCCTCTCGCCGTAGATCACCCATCATCCTTTGCTGCAGCGGGGTGAAAAGCGGTGTTGCATGATGGGACTTGGAGTCTGCTGGCGGCACAAAGAGTTCTGTTTCAGATTAAACAGAAAATCTGCAGATCTCGTCTGTTTACGGCAGTTTAGTGGTGATTCCTTAAAAGTACTACAAAAGAGTTCCTCAGAGCTCCGAGGAAGCCTACGGTGAAAGTCGAAACGTCGGCTAGAACAAGATAAAACAACTCTGTGTTTAAAGCAGAACCAAGTAATGCAGTTAGAGGAAATACACAGAATGAACATAAAAACGATGAAGAGATGAGTGGAAATGCAGAGAAAAGCTAAAAATGTCTAAATGTTGGGACAAAAGTCAACAAAATGTTCATAAATAAATCCTAATGAATTAATAACGAGACGTTTTTTGATCTTCTGCGTGTTTCTACGACGGCGTTCACAAAGGAACTCGGAACGTTCTCTAACCTTTCACAATAAAAGTCTCAAACATCTGACTCTGATCAAATTGTTTATTGAAACAATTGTCTGATAAAACTCTGAGTTCTTGATTTTAACTCTCATGGGTTCAAAAATGTTTTAATGTTAATTTATATATATTTTTGACCTCTGAAGACGTAGAGAGCTGTAGTCATTCACCTCAGAGCAAACGGACATGGTGATTTCCCATGATGCTCTGCTTCTGCCTTCTTACTGGAGCTTCATTCCGGTTTTCCAGCTGCGGCGTCCCACTTTCCTTCTGTCGCGACTCAGCCGTCTGGTTTCTTGTCTCCTGAATCAGAAACTGGCAGTGCTGAAGGACGGGTTCCAGTTGGATTCGGGTTCCCAGCAGGAGCTGTGGGGCAGCAGTCCGTCGCTCAACAACTCTGAGACGTCCATCCCTCAACTCTACTCGGACGCCGGCTCCCAGACCGACATTCCCGTCGAGGTGAGTCCCGGCACGGGTCTCTGGGCCATGGTTAGAGGCACGCCCTTTTTACAAATGAGATCAAGTCATGGCTGCCGCCTTTTATTTCTAGTGAATTTACAATTTTAGGGGGAAAATCATCTTAAAATGAGTTTAAACATGAAAATACAGGGAGTGCAGAATTATTAGGCAGGTTGTATTTTTGAGGAATAATTTTATTATTGAACAACAACCATGTTCTCAATGAACCCCAAAAACTCATTAATATCAAAGCTGAATGTGTTTGGAAGTAGTTTTTAGTTTGCTTTTAGTTTTAGCTATTTTAGGAGGATATCTGTGTGTGTGCAGGTGACTATTACTGTGCATAATTATTAGGCAACTTAACAAAAGACAAATATATACCCATTTCAATTATTTATTCTTACCAGTGAAACCAATATAACATCTCCACATTCACAAATATACATTTCTGACATTCAAAAACAATACAAAAACAAATCAGCGACCAATATAGCCACCTTTCTTTGCAAGGACACTCAAAAGCCTGCCATCCATGGATTCTGTCAGTGTTTTGATCTGTTCACCATCAACATTGCGTGCAGCAGCAACCACAGACTCCCAGACACTGTTCAGAGAGGTGTACCGTTTTCCCTCCTTGTAAATCTCACATTTGATGATGGACCACAGGTTCTCAATGGGGTTCAGATCAGGTGAACAAGGAGGCCATGTCAATTAGTTTTTCTTCTTCCATACCCTTTCTTGCCAGCCACGCTGTGGAGTACTTGGACGCGTGTGATGGAACATTGTCCTGCATGAAAATCATGTTTTTCTTGAAGGATGCAGACTTCTTCCTGTACCACTGCTTGAAGGTGTCTTCCAGAAACTGGCAGTAGGACTGGGAGTTGAGCTCGACTCCATCCTTAACCCGAAAAGGCCCCACAAGCTCATCTTTGATTATACCAACCCAAACCAGTACTCCACCTCCACCTTGCTAGCGTCTGAGTCGAACTGGAGCTCTCTGCCCTTTACCAATCCAGCCACGGGCCCATCCATCTGGCCCATCAAGACTCACTCTCATTTCATCAGTCCATAAAACCTTAGAAAAATCAGTCGAGATATTTCTTGGCCCAGTCTTGACGTTTCAGCTTGTGTGTCTTGTTCAGTGGTGGTCATCTTTCAGCCTTTCTTACCTTGGCCATGTCTCTGAGTATTGCACACCTTGTGCTTTTGGGCACTCCAGTGATGTTTCAGCTCTGAAATATGGCCAAACTGGTGGCAAGTGGCATCTTGGCAGCTGCACGCTTGACTTTTCTCAGTTCGTGGGCAGTTATTTTGCGCCTTGGTTTTTCCACACGCTTCTTGCGACCCTGTTGACTATTTTGAATGAAACGCTTGACTGTTCGATGATCACGCTTCAGAAGCTTTGCAATTTTAAGACTGCTGCATCCCTCTGCAAGATATCTCACTATTTTTGACTTTTCTGAGCCTGTCAAGTCCTTCTTTTGACCCATTTTGCCAGAGGAAAGGAAGTTGCCTAATAATTATGCACACCTGATATAGGGTGTTGATGTCATTAGACCACACCCCTTCTCATTACAGAGATGCACATCACCTAATATGCTTAATTGGTAGTAGGCTTTCGAGCCTATACAGCTTGGAGTAAGACAACATGGACAGGCTGTGTTTTTATTTAGCCACCAGGATGTTTAATGAGAAGTTTGAGAAATTAAATGAGAAATTAAAATCAATAGTACAATAAAATAGTACAACCAAAAACATTTGCAGGTTTACAAGCGAACACACAACTTACACAATTCTAAGAATGGGTGCAGGCAGAAGCATAAGCTTATAAGCCCAACCCCCCAAACCCTTTGAACTTAAACAAAATTTTAGCATACCAATTCCATAATTTTTACATCATATTTGAAATGTATGGGAATATATACAAATCCCCATTCTTGCTTTATAAAAAATAATAACCTTTAATATTTTATGCATTTTTTCATTGACTTGATTCATAATATTTAATCACATTTGATTTAAACATACCCTTAAACTTTACCATTGTTGAACAATCTTTTTGCTCCTGGTCTAATTTATTCCACACATCAACCCCAACACAAGAAACACAAAGTTGTTTCATTTTAGTTCTTACTTTAGGCTTTCTAAACATTTTATACCCTCTGAGATCATAAACACTCTCTCTGATCTGGAACAGATCCTGAATTTGTTTTGGCATCAAATTATTCATCACTTTATACATAAATTGTGCAGTTCTTAATGTAATAAATTATCTTAGCTTTAAAACTTTTAAACGAATAAAAAGTAAATGTGTACGCTCTCTACAAGCTGCTTTGTTTACAAGTCGAATTGCTCTCTTTTGAATTATAAACAAAGACTTTAAGTGGGTTTCGTAGGTATTTCCCCACACTTCAACATAATACATGAAATTAGGCAGAATTAAGGAACAATACAAAAGATATAAAGCTTTTTCATCTAAAAATTCTTTAACTTTATAGAGAACTGCTAATGATTTAGTTAACTTTGCTTTAATTGAGTCAATATGCGGTTCCCAACTTAACTTTTTTTCTGTGGTTACACCAAGAAGTTTTATTTCATTCACTCTTTCAATTTCTGTATTATTTATTTTGAGATGTGTATCCACTGTAATTGCTCTATTAGTAAATATGATGAATTTTGTTTTATTTAAATTTAAAGTTAATTTATTTAAGTTAAACCAACACTTTAATGCATTTAATTCTTTCTCAACCTTGTCCATTAATGTTATTAAATCTTTCCCAAAACTTAGAACATTAGTATCATCTGCAAATAGTATGAAATGCAATGTTTTAGAAACTAAGCATATGTCATTAATATAAAGAATAAACAACAAGGGACCTAACACTGACCCCTGTGGGATACCGGTGGTTACTGTCAGTAGCTGTGAATCAGTGTTGTTAATGTGGACATATTGGAGTCTGTTCTCTAAATAACTCTCAATCCAGTCATAGGCCACACCCCTGATGCCATATCTACACAATTTTTTTATTAATAAGTCATGATTAACAGTATCAAAAGCTTTGGTCAGGTCTAAGAACACCCCAACAGCATATTGTTTGTTGTCAATTGCATCAGATATTTTCTCCACTAGATCAACAATTGCCAGAGAAGTTGTCCGATCACGCCTAAAACCATATTGCTGTTCAGAAAGAATATCATGATGCTCAATAAAGTCATACAATCTTTTATGAAATATTGTTTCTAGTATTTTGGAGAACTGAGATAAAATAGAAATTGGTCTATAATTAGAAAAGTCATGTTTGTCTCCAGCCTTATAGACAGGAATGACTTTTGCAACCTTCATCCTTTCAGGAAATCTTCCTGATTGGAGAGACTGGTTACAAATATGTGTAAGTGGTTTGGCTATACTCTCAATGATTTCTTTTACAGCAGACATATAAAATCCATGTAAATCTGCTGACTTTTTACTTTTAAATTTATTAACAACTGTTATAACTTCATTTTCATTTGTGCCTTGAATAAATATGGTTTTATCTAAATTTGTTATTTTACTTGCAGCATCAGCATCTAATTTAGTATTTGATATTTCCTTTGCCAAATTTGGCCCAATTTCGGTAAAATACTTATTGAATTCATTTGCTATTTCTTTAGACTGATAAATTTCTTGATTGTCTTTTGTTAGAAATATATTTGGAGGACTATTGGTGCCACTTCCCTTTTTTATTACATCATTTAATATGCGCCACGTATTTTTAATGTTAGATTTATTTCCTTCCAATAATTTGCTATAATAATTTCTTTTACTAGATCTCATAATACTTATTAATTTATTCTTTTATATCTTGTCATTCTGTTCTGCTTCCTCCGTTCTTTTCTTTAAAAAGTCTTTATACAGCTTATTTTTTTTCTGCAAGCCTTCTGAATCCCCTTAGTTATCCACGGCTTTTTAGCATATCTATTCTTATCCACCTTATAAAGCAATGGGCAGTTTTTTTTTCATAAAGAGAAGTTACAATATTTAAAATTTTTCCATAAGCCATATTTACATCTTCCACATAAACCTCCTCTCAGTGTTGTTCCATCAAGTCAGTTTTAAATGAATTTACTGCTTCTTGACTTTTCAGCCTTGTAACAACCACAGATTCACTTTGAGTAGTTACCATTGTCCTTTGTACAACTGTGAAAACCGGTAAATGATCAGACATATCGGTAATTATAAGACCACTTAACACATCATTTTCAAGAATATTTGTATAAATATTGTCGATCAGTGTCGCACTAGTTCTTGTAATTGGAGTTGGCCGAGTTATTAGTGGATACAGTCCCAGACTAAACATGGAATTAATAAACTCTGTATTTGCATTTTGCATTTGAGGATTCAACAGGTCAATGTTAAAATCCCCACAGACAAAACACATATTTCTGTTGATTATATCATCACACATATCAACAATCTTTTCTTTAAACATTTCAACACAAGATCCTGTTTCCTATACATACAACTGACTAACACATTCTTAGACTTTTCCATTTGTATTTCCACAGATACACACTCCATAATGTTATCCATAACTAATGTCATATCACCCACCAATCTACTTTGAAAGTTTTTATCAATATACAAAGCCACGCCCCCGCCTTTTTTGCAGTCTCTACTTGTGGAAAACATATTATATCCTTCATTTTGAAACATAGATATCCTCCCTTCCTGGAGCCATGTCTCAGAGATTGCTGTTACAGTAAATTGATGATTTGATTGCTTCAAACATTGCATACTCTTCACAAAATTTGAATTTAGACTTCTACAATTGAAATGTATAACAGATAATTTACCTTTTATAGTGACATTGTGTTCAAACTGTCTTCAGTATAGTATTCACAATGATTATGTAATCTAGTGTAAAAATGGTTATCTGGATCAGTGTCATCCTGCATATCCTGCATGAACATGCATGAAGAGGATGATGTGGACAAAATACTCATTTGCCTAATAATTCTGCACTCCCTGCAGTGGATCTCTAAGGTCAGGCGACTCTTTGAAGGGTTATTTACAATTATAGAAGTGATCAGCAGACACAGTGATTTAGTTATCACTGATTCCGAGAGGGTTTCTCAATGCCAAGGAACCTTGCCTTGATGTCTTGGCCCCGCCCTGGTTGCCTAGGAGGTAGGTCATCGGGAGCCGCCAAGACGTGTTCCAATGTTCATGTTCTACCGAGGCGTGCGTTCTCTGTTAGCCGTTTAACTAGCTGAGCAAGGATATACGGGAGGTGTCTTGTAGCCTAGCCTTGGTCAACAATTCCCCAGAATACACCACGATAATTTCAAAAGGATGGATCAGAAGCTGGCAGCTACTTCGGGGACAATTTTCAAGTTTAAAAGCAAGTCAGCTAATTTAAAATGTTTTTTTCAGATCCAAAGAAGTTATCTATGGTTGGTTAGTTGCTTAGTAGTTGCAGCTTCGGTGGCTAGCGGGTAGTAACTCACTTATATTTTTAATTTAATTAACATGTACACAATTTAAAAAGTAAAAGGCTCGTTATATATTTATATTGAAACTAATACAGTGATCCCTCGCTACTTCGCGGTTCGTTTATCGTGGATTCACGACTTCGCGGATTTTTTCTTTGGAGCCTTATTCAATGGAAATTCGCCGATTCGCGGTGTTTTTCTATGCGAAATATCAAGAAATTCCTGTTTTTTTTCATCAATTTCATCATAAAATGCACTTTTTGTAATAAAACTATAAAAAAACAAGTAAAAATACAGTACTATGTAAAGGGAGGGTTTCAAAAGTCTGAATACTGAATACGTACCTGTTAAATAAATACTGTAAATATGGTGTCCCTACTTCGCGGATTTTCACCTATTGCGGCCAGGTCTGGAACGCATCTACCGCCATACACGAGGGATCACTGTACATATAAAATATAACATTATCTCCCGTGTCACGTGATGTTACGTCACCGCCGTGGAAGCCGCGGTCACTTGATGCAAGTCTGTTCCATTTTACCGTTTTCTTTGACCTAGGAAGGACAGTGTCCTCGTACGCAAAGCGCCTGGCCTCGCGAGGCCCGGCGTCTTGACATTGAGAAACACCCAGCGATGAGAAGGTCCTCCTCAGTATGATTCATCTGTTGGCTGATTAGTTTAAACATTCATTAGGATGCTTTGGTTTTCTCACCAGTTTTCGACCAGCACCAACAAACTGGCTGAGAAGGTTCGCCTGAGTCTGAAGTACGAGGAGGCCAAGAGGAGGTAACAACACTTTAACTCAGTCAGGAGATCCTGATTTAGCTGGGACGTCGTTGGTTTGTTTAGATAAACGTGTGTGTACCAGTAGAACTGCTTCAGATGTTCTGAAAGCCTCAGCTTCCTGTCTGTAAGTGGGAAGTCTGGACCGTGATCCAGCTGCTGCCAGAGCAGCTGTGGCTACGCTGTAGCTCATCATCACCAGCGTGTGGATGTGTTGCAAAGCACCTTGGGGGGTTGTAGAACCCTAGAAGGCGCTACGTGAATACAAGCCATGTATCATTTATAGTGAGCGGGAAGTCCTAAGTGGGGAAGTCTATGAAGCACAAGATGGATCTGAAACCGGCAACGAGTCCCGCAGATATCGGGCAGTTCCTCGGATACTGGACCGTGGAAAGTTCGTCCAAGAATCTGCTTGGAGAATGGAGCTAAAGTGACCCGGGTCCATCCAGAACCCTGATGTTTCAGACTCAACAGTTTGATCCCATGCTGGACTGGTGGAAGATGTGAGGCTGGAATATTTAGATCCTCTGGAACTTTCACATAAAATAATCTTTTCTGCCTTCACAGGACCCGTTTTCTTAAATGTTTGATCTGAAGTTGATCCGTTTGGTCTTCCCTTCTGCTGTGGAGCCAGCTATAAACCAGGGTGCTCAGCTTTAACCATAGCGTCCTCACCTTCTCCTTCCAGGATCGCCAACATCGAAGTTCAGATCGCCAGACTGGACAGCGAGGCGTGGCCGGGGCTGCTGGACCCGGAGCGGGACCGACTCATCCTCATCAACGAGAAGGAGGAGCTGCTGAAGGAGCTGCAGTACGTCAGCCCCCGGAAGCGCCTGGAGCCCAACGACGCCGAGAAGCTGGAGACGGAGAAGAAACGTCTGGAGAGAGACCTGCAGGCGGCCAGAGACAACCAGAGCAAAGCTCTGACCGAGAGGTGCTTCAGATCGGAGCTTTTGTCTACAGAAAGGTTTTTATGGGTTTAGCTGCAGGGGGATCAGAGAACTGTGAGATGAATAACTCGGATCAGATCAGCTGGTGAGACCTCTGACCCTTGGATACTCCTGTCTCGTTTTCCTCCATCAGGTCTCCCTGTCCACACACACACACACACTCACACACACCCCTCTAACAGGACCGTTGTTGTTCAAGCTCCAGGTCAGACTTTACCTGAGCCCCGTCTCTCTTTGTGTCTCGTCTCCTGTTCCTGAAACCCGAGATGCCGCTAAGCCTCGACACAAGGACCTCTTGTAGCGCACGCACACACACACACACACATACACACACACACACACACACACACACACACACACACACACACACGCACGCGCACACACGCACACTCACTCACACTCACTCCACACACACACACACACACACACACACACACACTGAGTCTGCAGCTCTGGAAATGCAACATTCTTTTCTTTTACCGAGTTTCAGAGAAGACGAGAAACCAGACGCAGTTAGCCCCCCCCCCCCCACACACACACACACACACACTGAGTCTGCAGCTCTGGAAATGCAACATTCTTTTCTTTTACCGAGTTTCAGAGAAGACGAGAAACCAGACGCAGTTAGCCCCCCCCCCCCCCCCCCCACACACACACACACACACACAACAGAAACTAACAGTTCGTCTTTGATAATTTCGCACCGTCCAGGTTTGTTCTGCTGCTTTTAGAAAACATTGAAGCTAATTATTCATGTCAGGTTGATAAACGATGGATTCTTCCTTGTTTTGGGTCAAATCTCTAAACCAGCTGGCCGTTTTCTTCCGTCCCTTTGAGTTTCTTTGTTATGTTGTTTTGTTTTTGTGTTCTTAATAATTCACAGACTAGCAAACTTTGTAGTTTTACTTTTTACTGACAGTTTCGGCTCTCACTGGCGCCTTCCTCGGAGTGGTGGTGATGTCACTTCCTTGCTGTTTCATCAATGGGCAGTCGCCCTCTACTTTCCACTTCCTGTTTGTCGATGACCATGTCCCATATGTGATCCACTCTCCTCCATCTCTGTCCACGTCTCCTTTAATCCGTCGTTGCTGACTTTGGCCAATATAGAAAAACTTGTATATATCGGTCTGCCTCTAGTTTTCTGGTTATTTTATTAAACTCCGCTCCCTTCTGTGATTTCAGGCTGCGGCTTCACTGTAAGAGGAACAAGCTGGTGAGAGAGCTGGAGGAGACGGTCCGCCTGGCCACGACGCTGCATACGCAGCTCAAGAGGTCCGTACTCGTCTCCACCAGGAAAGATGGAGTCAAACAACAGCAGCTTCTAAAGCGTAGTGCAGGAAGTTGGACTTTTAGCAGCACGAGCATCAGTCAGTCGGAAAGATTGGGTTGTGTTTGTGAGGAGGTTCTGACGCCTGCTGCTGCTCTGGGTTCGTTCGGCTCAGACGTTTTCTGAGGAAGTAAAAAGCCTGGATTGCTCGTGGGATTTGTGACGTACTGATGTGGTTCTGAGACTGTAGTTTCTTGACTAGTTCCATAAATGAAATGGATGAAAAAATAAACACAAGTAGATAAAAAGCATCATTTACTGGATGCTTGCTCAGATAAAGCTTTAACTGTTAAACCATTGGTTTTATCTTTAGTATCTGAATAACGGAGGCATGTTTTTGTGTAAAAGTTGTCGATGGCTCGGTGAACAGCCTCTGTTCAGATAAATGGAGTTTAAATCCTTCAGGACTGATGTGCTAACGGCTAGTCTGTTCTCCAGCACTTCCTGTGTTGGTTGTGATGTCAGAGACATTAAGAGCGTCCTGCTGGACTCCATCCCTGGATGCACCGGAATGCTACAGAAGGTTGCCGGTGATATTCACGCTTGTGAGGAACCACAGAATTCCTCCTGAAAATCCCCGTAATGTCAAACGGATGATGTCGTAAATGTTTGCGAGGGAACGTCACATGACCTGACATGAGCTCGGGGATCGGACAGGTTTTGGCTGCTCCCAGACTAGCTGTTAGCTCATCGATCCTGTTCCTCGGAGCAGAGGCGGATCAGGAAACGACGGATGACTGGTTCGATAGGAAGTTGTTCCTTGTTTGTAAATCTGTAAAATTCCCTGACGAGATCTATTTCCTGTCTCCAGCCTTTCCGCCAGCACGCTCTCCTGTTCGTCCGGCAGCAGTCGTGGATCGCTGACCTCCAGCCGCTGTTCGCTGGCCACCACCTCCAGCATGGGCTCCACCTCCTCCCTCAGCTTCACCGACATCTACCTGGAGCAGCCTGAGCTGGCCGACCCAGACCTGCGGAGCAAGCTGGAAGGCCTCCTGCAGGACGGCGGTCAGGGAGGTTACCGGCCATCCAGCTCCATCACCACCATTCACGAGCACGAAGTGGAGACGGGCTGCAGCGGGAGGCAGGGGGGGGATGCTGGGGGTTCTGGTGTCGGAGCGGAGTCCTCCAGGATCCAGGCGCTCAGACCGTCAGAGACTCCTCGCTCCATGAGCTCGTTGTCCCCCCGATCGTCCTTGTCCTCCTTGTCCCCACCTTGCTCGCCGCTGGTTTTGGACACTAGCTTCCCGTCGGGGGACACGTTTTTGGGCCAGACAGAGCCCGGCAGTTTGGGTCTGGATCTGGAGCTCCGCAGCAGGCTGACAGAGCTGGAGCTGAACTCTGAGGAGCAGCGGAGAGAGGAGCACAGGGAGCTGGAGGAGAACCGGAACCACAACAACATGCTGGGAGAGGAGGGAAGAGGTGAGTTCAGCAGAACCGGGTCCAGATGGCATCCTCGGAGCTGTGATCCCCAGTGCTGCTGAGTTTAAAACGTAGTTTTGTACCTTTGATCAGAGTTCGGCCCACAACAACCTGCTGATCCCCTAAATTAGAACGTGGTTTTCATAAATTCTTTAAAGATCGCGTTGCCGCTGTCGCTCGTTCGTGCCGCTTCACGCTGTTGAACATACGAAAGATCTGACCGTACCTGACAACATGCCACCCAGCTCCTGGTGCAGTCTACAGTCACCTCCCGCCTCGACTACTGCAACGCCCTTCTAACGGGTCTTCCAGCCTGGACTGAGACCTCTTCAAATGGTCCAGAACGCAGCGGCGCGTCACCCCTCTGCTCATCGAACTCTTTTGGCTACCGTTAGCCGCACACATCAACCTTCTGGGTCAGATACCAGATCTGATCTTTGATTTAAAAAAACAAAAACAAAACAGAAAAAGTAAATTCAGGAAAGTAGTGACAGACAAAACCACCGTAAAAGGCTGGAATGTTTAAAGATGAGATGTGATGGAGTTCTCAGATCCTTTTGCTTCTCTGGGTTCACAGGAGATTATAATTTATACGACGGAGATTAAATCCACCGACCTTTTATTTATTTATAAAACCTTACAGACGGTTCGGATCAGGAGTCAGGAGCGGGTTCTCTGGGAATGTGGAACACCAGGAATCCTCCTTCCACTGGGGTTTGGGAGACCCGGGAATGATCTGTGGGATCATGAGAGTCGGGCTTTGAAGAGAGGACCGGTCCTCGGGTTCCTGTTGGATCTGCAGGTGAAAGGTGTAGGCGGTGTCTGGTTTCCTGCAGCCAGAACCCGACCCGGTACCAGGTTCTAATTATACATGCAGCACTTTCTCAGAGCGTTCCCTCTCCGTCGTCTCAGCTTCAGGCTTCTGTTCCTCTGCTTGGTGTCGGTGAGCCGCTCTCAGCTTTCAGGTTTAATCCGGATCTGTGATGTGTTCATTCTTACAGCGACCAAACAAAAACCAACAACTTTTATTAAATAATGAAAGGATTTCAGACTCGTCTACACCTTTGTTTGTTTCATCTGGATGCGAGAAAAACATTTTTATTTCTGCTTGAAGTCCTTGGAAATGGTTGAATTTATATTTATTTGAAATGTTTTAAATTAGCATTTGTGCAGTTTGCACAAGAAGGTTCAATAATATGAGACAACGAGATCGCTCGACTCCCACGTCTTCACCTCCTCCTATTCTGCCTCCTTTCAGCTCCCCAGCCGCGAGGGGTGGGGCCAAAGAAGATGGGTGTGACCTCCGCTGTCTCTGACGAGTCGGTGGCCGGCGACAGCGGTGTTTACGAGCCGTCAGAGCGCAGGTCTGTCTGCTTTGATCTCCACAGAGTGGTTCTGGTTTGTCTTCTGTAAAGCGGCTCTAATGTTGAGGCTCTAATGAGGTTTTTATTGTGTTTTTAACACCAATAATTGCTTGAAAATAGAAGTGAAATCTGGTTTCAGCACCTTCCTCAGTCATTGTTTGACCCCAGACCTCCACTGTCAGAACCTGACGTTCAACCTGTGAATCTTTTTGTTTTTATTGTCTCCTCCAGACCGGGCCTTCCTGCAGACCTCCTCCTGAGCTCCTACGAGGAGCGGCTGACCTCAGGCTGCTCTCAGGTGCAGCTCGGCTTCCGTTACGAGTCCAGAGACCAGCGTTTCACCGTCTATATTATGCAGCTGTCCAACTGCAGCGCCCTCTGCCTGCCAGCTGACCAGAAAATGTAGGAACCTACTTCTGTTAACTGGATTCTGGTCATCAGAGCTTTGATATAATCTGCTGCGATGTTGTGTTAAAGAACGTCGTGTGACGTAAATGTTGTTCTAGGTGAAGTTTTTAATCTTATGAACTCATTCCCATTAGGGGTGTGTATTGGTGAAAGTCTGGTGATACGATACAATATATCACGATATATCGCCATATCGATATTTTCTTACATCCCTAATTCACGTGGTGTTCTAGAAATTCTAGAAGATGTGTTTTGGTCTCAGGAATCTTCAAAAGCAACCTGGCTTCTTTATTTTCCCGAGAAGGTTCTGCTCGTCATCTGAGCCGTTTCACGAGTAAAGATGGAATGTGCCGAGCTTTATGGGCTCGACACACGGGAGGCGACATCGCCTCTCCTCCATTTTCAATGAGATGTGCGCGACAAAGCGATAATCGCGGGTCTCCCTCCTACTAAGCAAAACGCGAAAACCGTGCATGTGAAATTTTGTGCTCGTGCACGTGTCGCTCGGACGAGGACCAATCAACGGAGGTTTCATTCACTGACCAATGAGCGGACAGGATGCTCCGTGCATCTCCGAGCAAACATGGAGGAGAAGTTGATACTTGCTGTGACGGATTTCCCAGAACGGTACAATATTTCTACCAAAGAATACAGAGATGTTCCCAAAAGGGAAATTGTTGGTGCCAGAAAGAACACATCAGGATCGTACTTGAGGTCCCTCATTAAATGATGGTATTCTCCGTTTCTTTGTCTGGTTTGTAATTTGGGACGAACCTATTCTCGAAGTTTTTTTTTATATATAGTAAAATCAGAAGTAAGATTTCACATAACTAGCGGCACCTTGTGAAACATCATATCTACCGCTTAAATAACCTTAATTCCCTCCAACCTGACACAGCCAATCAAAACAACGGAAGATTCGATTTCGCCATGGAACAGAACGCGTCGACGGCTTTGCCGCTGCCGCGGGTCACCTCCCGTGTGTCGGGTGATAAAAGCGACAGCGACGAATTTCGCTGATCGAGGTCGTTTGTCGCCTCCCGTGTGTCGAGACCATCAAACTGTAGTTTGTTGATGCGATGATGATTTAGAGGAACGAGAATATTTCAGCATTAATGTAGCTTTGAATCTGATCGCCAAACAGTCTCACAGCAGTACATCTTCAGGAGTGTTGTCAAACATCTCTGGCCCTTGTGACCTTCAGGGGGGAGGGATTTATGAGATAATAGGAGTGTGTATTAGCGAGAATCTGGCCGTACGATGTTAATCACAGTACAGGGGAGACTATATGATATATTGCAATACTAAAAGCAAGCAGCATATTTGCTGTTCTTAACTCGTTCACTGCCAATGACGACTAAAGTCGTCGTTTGCGTTTTTTACTGTGTGGGCGTCGGACGAGCCCCCGCACCGTGAGAACAAACATCTCAGCTCTAAAGTTGATCTTCATGTGCGTACGTCACACGTCACGTGATCTGGAAGCAGAACATCCATGTGTTAGGAGATCGTTTTGGGCCGCTGTTGTAAAAAAAAGTTAGGCGCGAACCGGAAAAGCTTCTGCCGATCACAATTCAACAACGGATTATGAAAGAACGGATAACGCTCGAAACGTGCGGATTCTTCCTGATGTAAGAGGTGAGTCTCCGCTTTGTTTTGGCGTCGACATCATCCTAGCGCGCAACGTTCAGTGACTCTTAAAAAAACAGTAAAAACGGTGAGAGATGCTGGCAGCGAAGGGCTTTAGCGATCAGGAAACAGCTGGCAGCGAATGATTTAAGAGTGAATTTAATCAAGAACTCGACCCAGACGCTTCCAGACACGCCCAGTGTTATCGTGTTTCCTTCTGACAGAAATGGGTAAAAACTGCTGCCACCTAGCTGTTGGAGTTTGAGTTACATCTCACAAAATAAATACAGTAAATGTTTGCATGTAAATTCACAGTAAAAGAATCGATACACCGCTTTCAAATATTGATTCAATATCAGAACACGAAATTTCGCAATACTTCAGCATATCGATATGTCCTTACATCCCCACAAGATGGTGTCCTGTAATAAACTCTCCATAAAGAGGATGTCTAGCCTTTTCTGAACCTGCTAGAGCTAAAACATCTGCTTTAGTTTGTTTCTGTGCTGTTTGCTTCGTAGTAAACGCTCCGGCTGGTCTGAAGCTAACAAACAAGCTGCAACGGAACGTTTAATGTTTGTCCTGCAGGTACGTCCGCCTGGCGGTGCTGCCCTCCGTCCAGGCCATGCGTTGCCTCTTCCGAACACGCAGCTCGCTGCCTCAGGAAGTCGTGGAGATCAACGAGGTGTTTGGCATGCAGATTTCCCACGGTGCGTTGCGGCAGAAGACGCTGAGGGTTGACGTCTGTGACGGCAGCACGTCGGGCCTCGAGGAGTGTCTGGTTAGTGTGATGATCCCGTTAGACGTGACGAGTTTAGACGGATGTAATAAAATCTGTTCTTCCTCCAGGCGGGGGCTCAGATCAGCCTGGCTGACATCAGCTGTTCGGAGGACGGGTGCACCAAGTGGTACAACCTACTGAGTCGCCTCTACATGCCTGAGATCAGCAACAAGGACAGAGGGAGCAGAGCAACAGGCGACTCTGATCAGGTACCGGTGGGGGGGACACTGACACCTGGTGGTTGGGTTGGAAAGGACACTCAGCAGCTAAACAACAAAACCCACCATTTTTAAAGTTGCTCTTTAGTTTAATAATAAAAAACAATCCGCACTTAAATGTAGGTAAACGTCACCTGACTGATCATCACTTTAACACCTTATTGTAGATTTGCTGCTGAGTTCTGAGTAATGGACGAGATGTTTTGTTTCAGGCTGGTGTTGGTAGCAGAGAGGAGGACCGAGCTGGTGATGATTGGTGAGTTTTACCTCCTCTTTGGTTCTGCTGCTCCTTCTGTAGAAAGCCTCATCCCTGGTTCACAGCGTCTGACCTGATGATAAATAAATGGGGTTTGGCTTTTAAATCTTCAGGTGCAGCGGTCATCTGAAGGTAGATGTACTTGATGAAGATGAGGGTGGAGATGGGGAGGAGCTTCAGGAGGAAGAAGATGAGTTCTACCCTGAGAGCAGCCAGTGGGAGACGGAGGAGGAGGAGGAGGTGACCAACCCCCCTCCAGCTGCAGCACCCATCACAGAGAAGGTAGAACTTTGTTTCTGCTGGTTGTGGATGAAGACGGATAGTTATGGATGCCAGTAGGTCTAAAGTCTTCATCGTCTCCTCCGTCCAGGTGAACAAGGAGACCAGTACGGATGGATTATCCTCGTCCCATCACTGCTTCGTGGTTCGACCCAAAGAGCGCCGCCCGGACGTCCACCAGCAGAACCCGTTCATGAGGGGCAACACCATCATTCGCTCCAAGACCTTTTCCCCTGGACCTCAGAGCCAGTACATCTGCAGGGTACCAGAACCGCTCCCATGGCAACAGAAAGAGGAACTTATCATGTTTCTGATGGTTTTATTCTAAAAGTTGTTTTGATTTGCAGATTAATCGCAGCGACAGCGACAGCTCCACCCTCTCCAAGAGGTCTCCGTTTGTCAGGAATGCCTCAGAACGGCGAAGCATGCGCATGAAGAAGGTAGAGAGTTATTCCTGCTGTGAAATTGGCGTCTTTAACATCGGAGTCGGTGGGAACTTGCTCCTTTCTGGAGTCAGCCCCGAGCGGATGAGACGCAGTAAACATTTATGACGATGTGTTTGGTGTTTACTGCAGGTTTTTATTGTTTTTCTGAGAGCAGCTGCATCTCTTTAACCGACTTAAGCGGTTCTGGGCCAGTGTGTGTGTGGACTAGGGGTTGTATCGACTAGTTGACTTCACTGCTTTTTATGCCTGTCATCGACTAGTCGCTGTCACGTGATGATGACCGACAAAATGCAGTCCTCAGAAAAATCAGCAGGTGACAGGCTCCTGCGCTTCGGGAGGCAACGCGCTGTGCCAGAGCGTCGGTACTGACGCCCGCCGTAAAACGGACATTTAACCAAATTGTGACCTTTACCCTCTTGCAATTTAATCTTCCCCTCACCCCCATCCTAACCTTAACCAGCTTGCACATGCAAACCTCTGATTGTTGACGCGCTCCAGACATCTGCGTCCTGAGCACGGCCACAGTAACATGATCAAATCAGGTGTCGCCACCTCAAAAACTAATTTAACACGCGATCATTCATGTCAGCTCATTTCCTTTTATGTTTTCTGTCTTTTATTTGTGCCTGATGCGTTTCGCTGCTGTGGATCGGGGCACATCACCTGTTTTGTCCTCGGTGACACACCTTACTGATGCGGCCGGCGAGCACTCCGCTGTTTTTGCGGTCGGTAGATCTTTTAGAACTGCAGTTCAAAGGTAACTCATGAGGTGAATATATATGAACCCAGGTAGCAGTTTCTCTTTAGGACTGAGAGGAGATGCAGGAAGATAATAAACAGGCAGGACAGAAAAATAGTCAAATAAAAACAAGTTAGTTTTTGTATCTGCTGGTTGCAACAAACAGACACCATTGAAGGTAATCAGAAGTGAGGAACAGAAAATGAAATAATTATTTTAATGTTTAGAGCAGCAGGAACTCCGAGAGGCTGCAGGCGCATCAGTGAGTTTGCGGCCGCTGCGCGCGTGGGGGTGGGGTGGTGGGGGGGCCTGAAGCAGGATGCAGAAGCTACCGTTGTTAAGAGAGATGTGTTTAACTTAAAAAATGTGGGCGCAATTTTAATTCTCAAAAACTACCCCCCCCCCCCCCCCCCCCCACACACACACACACACACACACACACACACCACCCCCGGCGTAGGACAAAAAACTCTTGGTCACCCATCGTCAGATTTAGCCGCATCAGGTGTATGACGTCATCAACGACTAGTCGAAGTCGACTCGATTTTCATTACTTGACTGTCATCTTAAAAAAAATTAAGTCATGCAGCCCCTAGTGTGTGTGTGTGTGTGTGTGTGTGTGTGTGTGTGTACTGGAGTAGTGTTTTGTGGTTTATTCCTGCTTCTTTGGTTCCTGACTTTTAAAACCGATGTTTAACCCTCTGACCCGCCGACCACTGAAGGCTCTTCTCCATTCTCCTGGGATGAAGACGAAGAGCCCGTGTGCCGTCATAAAACTCTTAAAGCCACTTAATGCCTCCCGCTGAAGCGACTCTTCGTATCTAATAACCGTCTGAATGATTAATGCCGCTCTGATTCGAGCACGCTTCTTTTAACTCAGCCCTAAAAATGTTTCTGTGTCATTATCTACAAACAACCGGAGGTAATGATGAGCCTGGGGTGACATTTCAGCACCTCTGAGACGCTGCTGACCGGATCGGAAGCAACTTTTAACTTTTGTTGTGTCTCGTGTCTTTTTGTTGGTCGGTTCTTCTCTCTGGAGTTCGTCCCACAGTAACACAACCTCATCTGTGCGTCCGAGAGACGGGAAAGGGGCGATATAATCTAGAAAAGACTATTTCAATGCTTTATTCTATCGTGTTAGAAAATAATCATTATTTATGAGGTTAAGTGAAAGATTTTAGATCAGAGGACAGAGTCACAAAATGTTGGTAGTTCTTCAAGAATGTCCCACGAAACGTCCTCCTGTAGGAGTTCGCTCTCGTTCTGATCTGTCTGGACGATGAAATGATTTAACTTTCCCGCATTAATCATGATATAACAACACACACACACACACATGTTTAGCTCCTCCTCCTCCATTTGAAGGTCAGACGTTTCTCCTGTAATGAGCGCTTCTTGTTCTTCCTGCAGCCTCCTGTTCAGGTCAAAGGTCTGGACGGTCTGCTCCGCACCTCCCTGGACCTGGAGTTGGACCTGCAGGTGTCTCGGACTCGGCAGGCACGGCTGGCACAGGAGCTGCGGGTTCTGCGGGAGCTGAAGGAGCAGCTGGAGAAGGCGAGGCAGCAGGGCCAGCGGGAGCTGCCCACCTGGGTTCAGGAGGACGAGCGCTTCCGGCTCCTCCTTAGGCAGGCTGAGAAACAGGTAGGGACGCGGGAACCGAGCTCTTCTCCTGGGTCTACAGCAGAGTTCAGGATCTGGTTCTCCTCTCTGTTCTGTTCAGACTCACGAGGAGCAGCTGCAGGAGAAGCGGGTGGAGAAGATGATGAGAGCCGCAGCGAAAGACGTCCACAAGATCAGAGGACAGAGTCGCAAAGAGGTTCCCGAGGTCCAAACCTTCAGGTAGATCCGTTCTGATAGGGACCGCGATCAGAGCTGAGAGCTGCTTTAGCTATGATGGGATTAAAAATGGCTGCTGAGTATTAGTTAATCCCCAGTTTCATCTTGATTTTCAAGTATTTGTTGCAGAAAATCTGCCTTTGATTATTTTAGGGAGGTAAAACTAAAACCAGAGCCTGGAACATCGGCAGGTTATTAATAAATAAAACAACAAACTTGAGAACTGATTTAGACTTTATGTGGGCTGCTAGTTTATGTTTATGTTTATGTTTATTTATTTAGCAGACGCTTTTATCCAAAGCGACTTACAGTTTATAACCTGTAGGGCATGTGGTGATCTGTGGGGGGAACCGGAGAACCCGGAGGAAACCCACGCATGCACGGGGAGAACACGCAACTCCACGCAGAAAGGCCGAGCCGAGTTTCGAACCTGCAACCTTCGTGCTGCGAGGCAACAGTGCTAACCACTGCGCCACCATGCAGCCAATGCAGTTGGTGTCTCGCAGTGAGAAGGTTGGCAGTTTGAATCCCAGCTGCAGTCTGTAGCTGCGTCTGCTCGTATCTGATTAATAACGAGTTTTTTGGACTCGCAGTTTCAAACAAAATAAAAATATTTGCATTAAAGCCACTTGGTCTGCAGCTGTTGGTGATATGAGACGTGCCTTCAGGCGGCATTAACCTGCTGCTTTTACCAGAGTGGTGATCAGACGTGAAGCTTTTTCCTGTAATGCTGACGTCCGGTTTCCTGATTTCAGAGAGAAGATGGCGTTCTTCACACGAGCGAAGGCCTGCGTCCCCGACCTGCCGGCCGACGACGTGTAGAGAAGCATTTCAGAGTCCCCGCCCCGACTCATCCCGCTGCTCCCTCAGACGCTCGGCGCTGTCTCCGAGAATTAAAGCCACGTCTTAGAAACGCACACCCAAACGGTGAAGCAACTCACCTAGAACGGTCTTTGTTACTACCCGACTGTTTGTAGTGTTTAAAAACAAAAAACGTAAACACTTTCTACTCAACCGACACAAAAATGTACACTGAAGCACAAAAGTGAGTCGCAGACGGTACTAAACTTACACCTAACCTGTAAAATGTTTAGTTTAGGAAACTTTATATGCAAACATACAAGCACACAGAAGTTCCTCTCGACAGGCTTCAGTGAAACATTTACATCCTGTTGTTTCCCCTTTCAGCTGCTGAAGTTTAACGAGATTTAGGTCCTTAAAGCTGCAATGGATCACAGGTTTGCGTTAGCCTCAAACATTTATGCTTCTTAACAACATTCTAACACCGCATAGCTATAAATGGATTGTAGAAAAATGTAAAAAAGAAAAAACTGTATAAAACGGTTCTCTCACATTTGTCTAAAAACCTCCACCAATAACACGTTTCAGACCGAATCCAACCATCGGACCGTCCGGTTGTGGGTCTCACCGATCCGCCGCACTTCGCTGGGTCCTCCGCTCATCACACACTCGAGTTTTCGGCACCAGAACGCCGCTGGTGTGAGGTTCTCCGCTCAATAATGCCAGAGAAGGAGAAACAGCCGGCTGCTACCTCTTCAGCTTTAGAAGAAACTACCAGCGTCCCAAAAAGAAAATCACCAGTTGAAGTCACGGACAACAAAAGACGTTTGGACCTAGAAAACGGAGACTGGTGTTAAGCGCTGTCTCGTTTCCTCTGGTAATGCGGGTCTCTGGTTCCAGCAGCAGTGTCTCAGGGAAGATACTCGGGGGGGTGGGTGGGGGGGGGGGGGGGGGGGGTGATCCGTGACCTGGTAGCTTTAAGGTTAAGATCAGATTCATTCCTAAAATTAACCTTCTGTAAAAATGAAATAAAATCTATTTCTGATCTGAGAAGTTCCTGCTTGGCTGTAGGGAGAAGGTGACTACAACCCCCAGAATGCATTTTGGTAGGAACATTTTAATCTGAGTTTAAAATTCAGTTTTTAGTCCAGGTTTAATCTGCTTTTGTTTCAGTATGAACAGAATCTGGTTCATGTTGAACACTTTTGTGTTTCTCAGAAGTCAGCAGAGCATAATGAGAAGAGAAGTTAAATTTATACTTCAAAATAAAAGCACCTATTGGAGGCTTCCATTGTGAAGTCAGACAGCTGTTACGTGTTTTCTAAACTAGAGAGAAGATGATGAACTCAGAACATTTATTTAAAAATTAGTCTTCGCAGCTGGAATTTTTATGTTTAAATATCAGCTTGGAAAAATCGCCATTTAATGATTGCAGTTACCACCTGTAACCACAGGTGTCGCCAAATCTAAAGGATTCTAGGTCTCGTTTTAAAAAGCGGCTGCATTAAACACTGCAGGACGTCCCCCAGAGGGAGACTGGAGTTAGTTAATCTAAAATGACCTCTCAAGTTCAGCTAAGTGTAGAAGCACTAACTCACTAACACTCAGGTAGCTGATCAGGTAGTCTGCACTTTATCAAACTTTAGGATAATGTAAAAAAAAACTAACGTAGAAACTTGATATGGGTTTTGGAGAGAAAAGGCCCAGAAGCCTTTGCCTCCTGCTGGATTGATGATTGATTGTTAAACCGAACAGGAAGACTGATCAGCTGATCAGATGTGTTTCTGATGACTGTGAACTTCTTACTGATAGTATGATTGTTGGGGTGGAAGTGATAAGAAAATGGAAGACAGATGATGCATCTCTCTCCTCTCTGATTGGCTGTTTGTTTTTACGCACCGGTGAAAACCTTCAGTCATTGCTTTTATCTTTCTGCGTTTTCTGGCTGTAACTGGATGCATATCAGAGCCGAACGTAAAGTTTCACCAGCAAAACTGAACATATCAGCTTTTATCCCAAACTTTAGGTGTTGTGTTAAAATTCTGGTTTTTGGTTTTACAGCTCATTCCCGCCGTTACAGTTTTGGTTCACTTGGGTGCTTTTCTGTTTACACGACCTTTAACCCACAAACGTTTAGCAGCTAAAGAGCCTCAGAATTCCCTCAGGAGGAGGTGGTCAGTAAAGAGTTTGTAACCATCAATCCATGTTAGCTGCTGCTCATTAGCGGTTTCTGCTGCCTCCTAGTGGCTACCATAATTCGGACAGGCAGAGCCACAACAAAAACGGGAATTTTGGTTTTAGTTCAGGCTGCTTTTATTAGAAAATGAAAAACTTGCTGATGAGTAAAGAATTTAGTGGATGGAACCAAGACACTCCAGTCATTCCAGATGTTTTCTTCTTCCTGTTTTTAGAAAAACAGAAACAGAATCTCAGATGTTGTTTTCTGAATAAATACTGTAAATTGTTTCAGGTCGGATGTAAAGAGCAGTAGCTGCGCCACATCTTTATCACCTCACACTGATTGTTTTAGGTGAACTGATATTGACATAAAAACATATTCTGACTCTTATTTTGAAAGATTTGATTTGATTCCAGTTTCTTTCCTCAACTCTTCCATCCTGTTTGGTCAACGAAACTTCACAGGACTCATTAATCAGATTAAATGAGGAATAGGACCACACATCCGGACCCGGAGGAGGGACTGGGAATGACCTAGATGGGAATCGGATGCGCTCTCCTTCACTATGAGATACTCAGACAGGAATGCCGCGGCATCCCGTTTTTTAATTACTTTAGAATTTCCAAGACTTTTTTTTATCTGATGTGAGCGAAGATGTAGAGAAATGTTTTTCTGGACATCCGTTGTTCTCCACCTTAGAGTAGAGTAGGACTCTGCTGACTCTAACCGCCGACTCAAAAAGACTCCTTTACACACAAAAACAACACTTGGATGAAGGAATTTAGTTTTTTACATACGAAATGAGAGGGAAAAAAACGTTAGTTACAAATGATTGTTCGTCGTGTAGGTTGTGCATAATTCCTGTATTTTTTTCTTTCCCTTGTTTGATTATTTTGTTTTGTAATGAATCTGTATTACGGCTGCTGATGGAACCGGTGGCGAGTTTGCAGACGGCAAGGAGACACACACAGCATGTATTTATTGCACTTTTGTGATTTGGGTTTGCTTTTATTTTCTCCTGTTTTTCTTTTTGTCAAAAGTCCCGAAAAGCTGTGAATTTTATTCTCAGACACTGTACTGTCGACAAGAGTTGTAAATATTTCACTAGCACACGAAACAAAAGCAGTATGTTTTGTAGTTTCACAACAAATAAAAAAATCATCTCTTCTACTTGTGTCAGATGTGTTTTTATTAGTTCAGCCAAACCTGTAACAGAGACTTGTTTTGCCCCGATAATATACTTAATAATTAATGTTGGTAATTATAGTGTAGCCTTAAACATCTGCCCTTGGGGTTCCACTGGGGTGTGTCCTTGGTATTTTATTTTTTACAGCATATGGTGTCGTGAAAAGAACTCGTCCCTTTACTAAATTTAGTCAGTTTTTCCTTTTTTTGTCCCAATTAAAGTCTTCTAATCGACAAACAAATATCAGTAATAGACAATTGGAGTAAAAAAATGCAAACGTTTAAATTCTAATTCATAAAATGAGTAAATCTGTTCAAACCAAGCTTTTGCTGTGTGAAATGTAGTTCAGCCCATTGTTTTAACTGTAAATTATTTGTGATTAGCTACATTATCTGGAGACCTGTTGTCTGTTTCAGAAGCCACACCAACACCTGATCACCACCCAACCTGTAGGTTAAGAAATCACTTCAGTAGCACCTGTCTGACAACACAAAGTAACAGTAAATTACCTGCATCTGAATAGCGCCTTGTTAGGGATTCTGGTGGTGATGAACTACGATGTAGCCACAGCTGTGCTGGGCTGCACTGACAAAGGCGAGGCCTGCCGACCACCACCAGCAGGCGAGGCTGCAAGGGTCTCGCCCAAGGACACAACAGCAGCATTGTCTGAAGCAGACTAAAAGATCTCAAAAAGTAAAGCATAGTGCTTCATTTTAAAGGAACTCGAGTGCAAAAGAACCCAAGACAATCTGCTGTCTTAAAACCACAAAAATCCATCTCACCTTTACCCCCAAATTGACAAAACAAAAAACATCTTGAAATACCCTTACACCTTTTGGTAAAATAGTCTGGAACTTTCTGGAAGGTGTTTCATCTGGAGTCAAACTAACACTAAAACGTGGTGGTGGTAGTGTGATGATCTGGGGATGTTCTGCTACTAACAGAGGGAACCATAAATTCTGCTCTCATGCAGAACATCTGACCTTTGACCTTAAACTGGTTGTTTATGCTTTAACATGCCCTCATGTGGTTGAATTCAGATGATTCTGTAAAGAAGAGCGGGACAAGCCCCCCCCCCCCCCAGTGATGACAGACTCTTCAGGTATCAAATTAACTGGATCCATCTTGTGCCTCTGGGGTGCCACAGCTGGTTAGCAGGTTTAGAAGGTGATTGATTACTTTGATGAGTGCAACATCACCAAATGGCCTGATTTTAAAGATCCCACAGGTCATATGCAGCCAGAGCAAATAACCCTGGCTGCTACATGTTTTGCTGTATCTTGTCAGGAGTCTGTGAGTGCACAACTCAGCATTTTAATCAGATGACTTCATCAGCTGAGCGCAGCTTCATCAGATAATAAAGATGAACAGTAGCAGCCAAGGCCCTTCACAAGAGAACTGTTTTAGATAAATCTTTATTCCCAGAAGATTACATAATTAAAAGTAATCATTTTATATTTCAAAATAATCACGGAAGAAAGAAGATTTTATGATTAAAATTCATTACATATTGCCATGTATAATTAAGCAATGAAATCTTCATGAATCTGTACTCAAGGACTGCTTAAGTATGTTTACTGGATTAGGTCATCACCATCTGCTCACACCAGACAGAGAGTAAGGTTAAGATAAGAACGCATGACACAACTTGTCCCTAGACTCAGAGACTCTGCGTCTCAGAGCGTGTGTTTCTGAGATTCTTGGTAAGTTTGGTAATAGATTACAGCGGGTATATAAACCAGCCACTCTGCTTTCTCATCAGTCGGGAGAGAAAGCTGGAGACTGGCCATCTCTTAACAGATCTCTAGCTCAGAAAGATTTTGACACGCTGTCAAAACCTTAAGGTTTGTTGCACCTGCGAGCTGAGAACAACAAGGTTTCCTGCAGAACAAAGCTGATTTTGCAAAACTCCTTCAGAGTTATTTTAAGACGCGTGGTTTCCATCCATCTGTCGTGACCCGAGACACATCTCTAGGACTGAAAGGATGGCACATTGGTACTCTACAGTCCTCCGGTGTCAGCGGTCATCCGACCACTCTGACTTTCGGATCCACCAAGAGGGTGCCTCTACGGTAATGTAGACACACAGATAGAGTCTGTATGCAGTTTGATAAATAACAGCTTACAGCTTATCTGCAAACCAAATTCTTTTATAGCCAGAACGCAGGCGCGTTGCAAGCTTTTCAAAAGTGTGGGGGATGTTGTCTGTGCCTAAAATAATTTCATGTTATTCATCTTGTTAGTTTAATTTGCACAATAGCGGAGCAGGTGCGAATTTTAGATGCGCCACGCATGTCTCCGTTTTAAACATGTTTAAACTGTTCAGACTACAAATCCAGGCTCTGTCTCGTTAGACTGGTGTAACTAAAGTTTAAACCGTGTTGAAAAGAAAATGATCCTACTAAATCGTTTCCCCTCATTTTACAGTCAGTACAGCGCAGTGCGCATGGCTCTGGGGTTAATCAAGTTTAGTTGTTTCTCTTTGCAACAATCTTCACAGGAAGGCAAAACAGTTAAATGGCAGCCAGAACGCACCTCTCTGAAGATACGAAGATTTTGACTCTAACACTATATTCACATATAGTTTTCAGACACCCATCTTTTAGTTCGCATCCACTCACATAGTTTAAACCATTTGTCAAGTCTTAATTGTTTGTAAAATAAATTCTTATTTGTTTGCAAACACTGACTGGTTCTTGAATCATAAACGAAGTGTGAACAATCCCTTAATAATTAAAAGAATCCTAGAACCTTCTAATTAGTCATCCTAAGACCAAGCAAGGTGAGTATTGCAGCTAGTGGTCACAAGTAATGATAATAGAAATAAACAGCTCTTAAGCAATATATTTAATTCAATTTACCCTCTATCTGATTCATTACATGAGCCAGCTTGGTTTAGAAGCTGATCTTTAGCTGCAGTATCAGATATTTACAGCTTACTGAATCCTTTTAAATATTGCTTTCACGATTGTGGGTTTCAGAATTTTATCAGAAAATACATAAAACATCAATATAGTTCATTCACTTTAATTCAGTTTATGTATATAGCGCCAAATCACGACAAGAGTCGTCACAAGTAACTTCACAAAGTAAACATTAAGTTCAGATCTGTCCCTTATGGAAACACGCCTACTCTCGTTCTTCGTTCAGTTTTTATTTATTTTTAGTTTTTTTTCTGGGTATTAAAACGGTTTGAAATCCAACACAATGCGGATCAAAGTAGGATTGAAAATAAATGTCCGTTGGAATACGACCAGCTAGTGAAAGCCAGCAGAGGTAACGGTTTTCTTCCCGTCCAGCAGAGGGCGCTGCGCAGCGGCTTCTGAACGCTGAAAGTTGTGGAACTTCTTCCTGCTGCTGCAGTTTGTTTCATCAGACACGAGATTTCTCTACAGCCGCTGAAAGAGTTTCATCCCCGCGTTCGGGAAGATGGGAGACCAAGTGACCGACTACACAGCCCGACTCCAACACCAGGTCAGTGGTAGCTAACGTTAGCATCAAGGCTAAACGTGTGCTTAGCTGTCCGTGAGTCTGTTAGCTAGACGTCAGCGCCGCACCAGACTCCTGCCAAGAAACGTTCAATATAACGATTTTGTTTATTCACCCCAAAAGTACGCAAAGCAATACACCACAAACATTAAATTTTAGGCTCATTTGTTGTCGTTAATTGTTGGGCGTTAGTTATTTACCTATAATTTATTTTTTGTCATTAAAAACGATTTTATTCATCAAGTCACAAAACGTAGACTGGAGTTAAAGCGTTTAATCAAGCATTATGTTGACTGATGTTTGCGTCTACTTTACCCAGAAGAAGACATTGTTTTAATGGTTGGTTGGTGTGATTTTTGAAGACGCTGCTTGTCACTAAAACAACAAAAATATTTGGTATTCGGATTTATTTGTCTGGGGACATAAGGGTGTGATTTAGCGCCATCTAGCGGTTTGACAGGAATGGTTTATAACCTTCAAAGTAAAGTTTCTTTTTCTGATTGGACCCTCTGACTGAACCTTTTTATAAAATTGGTTTAAAACGCGACCAGAACGATTTTAAGCAAATGCTTTTTAAGTTTACACACTTTTAGATTGTGGAAAAGACAACCATTAAAGTAATCACTTTCAGTTTCATTCTGATTTGCTTTTTGAGCAATGATTTTATTATAAGACCTCCTTTTGGCATGAGTGCAGTTTTTATTCATTGCAGCCACTCAGTACTCTTATCTATGTCTATTTAAAAGTATATTTTATTTTTAATAGTATTTTAATAATAGTATTTTATGTTCTGCTTTTTTCAATTCTCTAAGCTTCTACAATGAAACCGATTTCCTTCATTTTATTTTTTAAGGAGCGGGAGATCCAGAGTTTGTCTGCAGAGATTGAGAGTCTGAAGAACCCACAGAACCTGAGTCCATTGCCAGGACTGGACGAGCTCCGGGAAGAAAATGCCAAACTCAAATATCGCCTCAACGTCCTGAAGAGGGTGAGCTGAAGTTATGATCAGACGATTAGAGACACAAAAAGGCTGAAATTTAATTCTTTTTAGCTGGTATTTTATTTTAAACACAAATATAGAAGGAGTAAGAATACCAACAATCTTGAGTATAATTTACATTTTGTCCAGCAGATTTTATATCTTTAGTTTTATTTTTTATGGCATAATGTTGTTACCCCGCCCTTCTGGTGTCTGACTATTTCAGAGGAATATTTAAGATTTTTGTTTCCTCTGAATCATTCAGACATAATACAGCTCCATAACTCAAGGGATGAGCCACTGAACAGAAGAAATTTAGGCTTTTAGTTACTAGCAGCATGACAAAGTCCAACCCAACTTATTTTTAGACAGGCTGCCACCTTATCGTGGTGGAGGGGTTTGAGTGTCCCAATGATCCTAGGAACTAAGTTGTCTGAGGCTTTCTGCCTCTGGTAGGGTCACCCATGGCAAACAGGTCCTAGGTGAGGGATCAGACAAAGAGCAGCCCGGAGACCTCTTATGATGAATTATATAAATGGAAACCGTGTTCGGAAGATCGACAGGCGGATTGGTTCAGCGTCTGCAGTGATGCGGACGCTGAGCCGATCTGTCGTGGTGAAAAGGGAGCTGAGCCAGAAAGCCAGGCTCTCGATTTACCGGTCGATCTACGTCCCAATCCTCACCTATGGTCATGAGCTTTGGGTAATGTCCGAAAGAACGAGATCGCGGATACAAGCGGCCGAAATGAGTTTCCTCCGTAGGGTGGCCGGGCTCAGCCTTAGAGATAGGGTGAGGAGCTCGGACATTCGGGAGGGACTCTGAGTAGAACCGCTGCTCCTCCGCATCGAAAGGAGCCAGTTGAGGTGGTTTGGGCATCTGGTCAGGATGCCTCCTGGACGCCTCCCCGGGGAGGTGTTTCGGGCATGTCCTGCCGGCAGGAGGCCCCTGGGTCAACCCAGGACATGTTGGAGAGGTTACGTCTCCAATTTAGTCCGGGAACGCCTTGGGGTCCTGCCGGAGGAGCTGGTGGAGAAGGCCAGGGAGAGGACGGTCTGGAGCTCCCTAGATGGGATGCTGCCCCCGCGACCTGGACCCGGATAAGCGGAGGAAGACGACGACGACGGAAACCGTGTTCCCTCGCCCGGATGTGGGTCACCGGGGCCCCCCTCTAGAGCCAGGCCTGGAGGTGGGGCACGTTGGCGAGCGCCTCGTGGCCAGGCTTTCACCCATGGAGCCCGGCCGGGCACAGCCCGAAGAGGAAACATGGCCCCCCTTCCCATGGGCTCACTACTCGTGGGAGGGGCCAAAGGGGTCGGGTGCAGTGTGTGATGGGTGGTAGTCAAGGGCGGGGACCTTGGCGGTCTGATCCTCGGCTACAGAAGCTGGCTCTTGGCATATGGAATGTCACCTCTCTGGTGGGGAAGGAGCTTGAGTTGGTGTGTGAGGTTGAGAGGTTCCGAATAGATATAGTCAGACTCACCTCAACGCATGGCTCTGGCTCTGGAACCAGTTTACTTGAGAGGGGTTGGACTTTCTACCACTCTGGAGTTGCTCCCACTGAGAGGCGCCGAGCAGGGGTGGGCATACTAGTTGCCCCCCATCTTGGTGCCTGTACATTGGGGTTTACCCCAGTGAATGAGAGGGTAGCCTCCCTCCACCTACGTGTGGGGGGACAAGTTCTGACTGTGGTCTGTGCTTATGCACCAAACTACAGTTCAGACTACCCACCCTTTTTGGAGACCTTGGAGGGGGTGCTTGAAAGCGCTCCTTCCGGTGACTCCCTCGTTCTGCTGGGAGACTTTAACGCTTATGTGGGCAACGATAGTGAGACCTGGAGAGGTGTGGTTGGGAGGAACGGCCCCCCGATCTGAATTCGAGTGGTGTTTCGTTATTGGACTTCTGTGCCAGTCATGGATTGCCCATAATGAACACCATGTCCATATGTGCTCTTGGCACCAGGATACCTTAGGCCGCAACTCGATGATCGACTTTATTGTTGTTTCATCTGGCCTGCGGCCGCATGTCTTGGACACTCGGGTGAAGAGAAGGGCGGAGCTGTCAACTGACCACTATCTGGTGGTTACACTCTTAAGCCTTCCTGGTAAGATCTATTCAGGGGTTCTGGAGAGGAGGGTCCATCGGATTGTTGACCCTCAGATTCAGGAGGAGCAATGTGGTTTTAGTCCTGGCCGTGGAACACTGGAACAGCTCTATACCCTTAGGGGGATCCTGGAGGGTGCGTGGGACTTAGCCCAACCAGTCTACATGTGTTTTGTGGATTTGGAGAAGGCGTTTGACCGTGTCCCTCGGGGGGCCCTGTGGGGGGTACTCCGGGAGTATGGGGTACCAGGCCCTCTGATATGGGCTGTTAGGTCCCTGTATGACCTGTGTCAGAGCTTGGTCCGCATTGCCGGCAGTAAGTCGGGCTCATGAGAGTTGGACTCCACCAAGGCTGCCCTTTGTCACTGATTCTGTTCATAACCTTTATGGACAGGATTTCTAGGCGCAGCCAAGGTGTGGAGGGCATCCATTTTGGTGGCCTGAGAATCAGGTCTCTGCTTTTTGCAGATGATGTGGTCCTGTTGGCTTCATCAGAACGTGATCTTCAGCTTTCGCTGGAGCGGTTCACAGCCGAGTGTGAAGCAACTGGGATGAGAATCAGCTCCTCTAAATCTGAGATCATGGTCTTGATTCGGAAAAGGGTAGAACGCCTTCTCCGGGTCAGGGATGAGGTCCTGCCCCAAGTGGAGGAGTTTAAGTATCTCGGGGTCTTGTTCACGAGTAAAGGAAAACTAGAGCATGAGATCGATACGTGGATTGGTGCTGCATCTGCAGTGATGCGGGTGTTGTACCGGTCTGTCGTGGTGAAGAGAGAGCTGAGTCAGAAGGTGAAGCTCTCGATTTACCGGTCGATCTACGTTCCTACCCTCACCTATGGTCATGAGCTTTGGGTAGTGACCGAAAGAACGAGATCACGGATACAAGCGGCCAAAATGAGTTTTCTCCGAAGAGTGGCTGGGCTCTCCCTTAGAGATAGGGTGAGAAGCTCGGTCATTCGGGAGGGGCTCGGAGTAGACCTGCTGCTCCTCCACATGGAGAGGAGCCAGTTGAGGTGGCTCGGGCATCTGGTCAGGATGCCTCCTGGACGCCTCCCTGGTGAGGTTTTCCGGGCACGTCCAACTGCGAGGAGACCTAAAGGTAGACCCAGGACACGGTGGAGGGACTATGTCTCTCACCTGGCCAGGGAACGCCTCGGGATTCCCCCGGAGGAGCTGGCCCAAGTGGCTGGGGAGAGGGAAGTCTGGTCCTCTCACCCTATGCTACTGCCCCCGCGACCCGACTCCGGATAAGCGGATGAAAAATGGATGGATGGATGGAACAAAAAAAGTACAAAATTAGTCTCTTATTCTTGTGCGAGTTTCTCATTTAATCCAGCAGGAAGGGTTATTGTGTTTTCTGAGTTCAGAGTCTGCAGGAGGACCCATGTGACTGCAGTAAGTCAATGCTGAACATCAACCAGCGGCTGCAGGAGGTTTTTGGCGACGCCATCCGGGTGTCCTTCCCCGAGCTCCACAACCCGCCGCTCGCTGTCACGCCCAACCAGCAGGCTAAATTTGGAGATTACCAGTGTAACAGCGCCATGGCCATGGCTCAGGTGGGCCCTCGCTGTTGTTTATTCTGCTTCAGAACTGTTAAAGCTCACGACTCCTGCATTTTACCTAAAAGGTCTGAATGTAGTCTTTTGTTGGGTTCAAGTCTTCATCAGGAGAAGCTTCTAGTTAATAAACACAAATATTTTAGAACAACTTTGCAAATTAAATCTACAGATTATTTTTATTAGATACAAAGGTTTGCATAACCTGGTTTGTTTATTTTGAAGCCTTTAAAACCTGATATATGAAATAACAACAATAATGAAAGAGCTGTTCATTATCTAATGTTAATAAAACATCTTTATATGTAATTCTGTAACATTATAACCGTAATAACTGGCCCTGACCACCCGTAGACCCTTCACCAGGGGGCAGCAGACACGTAGAGAACCTGATATGGCAGGTTTCTGATGAAGGTACTAATCCCGATGCTCCGTCTGGAGGCTTTATGGACAGATGTGGTTTGATGGGACAATAATCCATCAGGGATTAAGTTTAGTCCTAAATGTGTTCATTTTATTAACGTTTCAGGATTTTCAAAACAAAATCCTAAACTTCCTGTTCTGGTGGATCTTTTCTCCTTGCCTGTGAGAGGTTTGTTCTGATGTCGTTCTGCAGATGCTGAAGGCAAAGGGGGCAAAGGTCAGCCCACGAGAAATCGCTGAGAAAATTGTTCAAAATCTTCCCGACAACGAATTTATCCAGAAGACAGAGATCGCCGGTCCAGGTAGTAAAACGGAAAAAAAACAACTCAAAAGTTTGACTTTAACTCATCTGAGGAGTAATTATTTACCTTAAAGGGGCGTTATGGAAGTTTGACAGTCAAAACATGTATAGAAATAATAAATGTCTTCTTCTTACATTCTCCTGCAGTGCCCTGGTCCTGTAGAATGAGCCCTGGCATTTTTACTGTGATTGCCTGTTTTTCTGTAAAATCACAGAAAAAGAGAGCTGCTCGGGTCGAGCAGGCTGCTTCATGCGCGTTCACGCTCAGGCATAGCCCGTAGCATTTGCTATCCGTAGCTTTAGCAGCAGAGAGTGAGGTAGTGCCAACTCAGCGACTTTGTCGCTGTTCCTAACGCCTAGTGATGAACCTAGCTACATTTCTTAGGACCCTTAGCTACTTTCTGTAGAACTTTCTTCTAGATATTTCCTGCAAATTAGCTACAAAATAGCCATTTTCGCTCCGAACCGTTCTTTGGTTTGACGTTGTTCAGCTGTCATCAAGGATATAAATGTTACAGACACAAAAGATGTCACTGGTGCTTTAGCTCACCTAGTAAGATGTCGGACTCTTGTGCGGAAGACATGGGATGTGGACATAGTTTATTTAAAGTTCATTTTTTACATTAATGGTATATTTTTTACAGTAAGATGCCCAAATTTTTATTTGAGACTCGCCGAACGGCATTGAATTCACAGATAAGAAAGATGTGGGTTCAACTTTCATTTTGGAACAATTTTTCAAGCAAGGGAAGGGAATGATCTGAGCATGTAGGAGGACTGACCCATCATAAACTTTGTCGGCTGTGCTGAAGAGAAAGGTACAGAACCAAATTATTTAATTAATTAGCTGCATGTTCTCCTGTCCTCTGTCCTCCGGGCCACACACACACACACACACACACACACACACACACACACACACACACACACACACGCACGCACGCGACTGTCTCAGCTGTTATTTTCATCAAGGAGTGTGCACGTAGAGCATACGAGCCTACTATTGAAGCTGCCGTTAAGCTTTTGGCCTGAGGGGGCAATCGCGAGCATAAAAATTCAAAAGTCCAAAAAGTCCCTTTAATAAGTAGTAAGTAATCAGTCATGTTAAAAAACATCAGTAGTGTTTTCTTTTGTCAAAATTTGTGTTAACGTTCATTTAATTTTGTGAAAAAATTACAAATAAATACAGCAGATATAGTTCTTATTGTTAAGAATCTTAAAGAGCAAGTCACCCCCTACCAGAGTCTTACTCCACTCCCACTTCCTGTTTGAAAAATGCATTAAATGCTGTTGCCTAGCAGACTGAGAGGGCAGAGCCACTAACAAATACACACACACACACACACACACACACACACACACACACACACACACACACACACACACACACAGGCTCACAACGACATTGTGACATCATATGGTACCAGCTAACATTCTAGGGTACCTCTTAGCCAATAGCAAAGGCAGATTTAAATTCTAATGCAGTGCAGAGTTTTTACCTGACAACGGCACAACACCGACAGTTTTAGGCAGAAAATTGAAATTTTAACTAAAATGCACTAAAGTGCAAAACTATTGACCACACGTGTCTGCAGCACAATTAGACACACATTTATGTAGTTTATCAGAAAAAAAAGTTGATTTGGGGGTGACTTGCTCTTTAAAGATTAAGAAATCTGCAGATTAATACATTTAATCTTCTTATATTTGGCTACAGAAGAGGATTGAGGCCACTGAGAATAAAGTCTTCCATCTTTTATGGTTGTAAATATAAAAAGCAGCAAAATCTTAAATGTCATGAAAATATAATAGAAAATAAACTTCATTGTAATAATACCTATTGTTGATTTAGACGTTCTTGTTTATAATAATTTACAGATGTTTAATTCTATTCTTTAAAGATCTATTTAATAATAATTACATTTTATGTAAATGATTAAACTGTAAACTTTTAAATAATCTAGAAACTAATGGTGATAAAATACTTTCAACAAAGATTTGTCATTTTGTCCCAAAACTGTTTGATGAACAACTTTTTTTTATTTTTAGAAACAAATCCACTCTGAACATTTACTCCCTTTTATTTTACGCTCTGGTTTCCTGTTGGTTCTGGTTCCAGGGTTCATCAACGTCCACCTGAAGAAGACGTTTGTGTCCAGATTGTTGACCAACCTGCTGATGAACGGCGTCCAGCCACCGCCGCTCGCCTCCAGGAAGAAGGTTCGTCTCTAAAACCCAACGGACACGGTTCCGGTCTGTCGGGTCGAACTCTTCTGTTGTTTCGTTACTCAGGTGGTGGTGGACTTCTCCTCACCGAACATCGCCAAAGAGATGCACGTCGGTCACCTGCGCTCCACCATCATCGGAGACAGCATGTCCCGGCTGTTTGAGTTCCTCGGCTACGATGTCCTCAGGTTAGCCCAGCTCTCACCTTGTCCCGTAGAGCCTGAAACCACGTTAATGCCAGACTCTTACCTGCTGCAGGTGTTTTTATGTAAAAATGAACCAGGGCTAGAAGGGCTAATGAAATAATCCTAATCTAGGCTGGACCTCACCACATCAGTGTTTCTCTGGAGCAGTCAGGACGTTTACAGTATTGCCCTAAGAAGACTCATGTCGAGTTTTTAATTGCATGTAAACGTGTTAGTGGCTGAAGGCGGACTGGTTCTAAACAGGCTGAAGCACCCAGATAGTGCTGTAGGAATCTGATTACTTCCTGCTTGAACACGGGTCAGCCTAACTAAACTGGTAGGGCGCTCGCGTTCAGGAAGTGACGAAACCTGACAACACCATCGTTGTAAAGCTGCTGATGCCGATGGATTAAACAGGACAGTACGTAACGTTGCTGTACATTCCTTCAGCCATTGAGCATTTCCTGCTTCACTCCCGCCAGCCTCTGGGTGTTTCTCAATGTCAAGGCGCCTGGCCTTGCGAGGCGATGTCTTGCTTACGAGGACACGGTCCTTCCTTGGTCAAAGAAAACGGTTAAATGGAACAGACTTGCATCACGTGACCGCGGCGGTCACGTAACATCACGTGACACGGGAGATAACGTAATATTTTATACATATTAGTTTCAATATATATAATATATAATGAGGCTTTTACTTTTTAAATTGTGCATATGTTTATTAAATTAAATATATAAGTGAGTTACTACCCGCTAGCCACCGAAGCTGCAACTACTAAGCAACTGTAACGTCATGAAATGACCTGATTTTGAGGTCAAGATCTACAGCCAGGTCAACTTAACCTGGCTGTGACACAACCTACAATGTTTTCCCCTCACAGGAGTCTGGATGTCTACACGTAGTCCCTTTAAATCAGAGCCTGCTTCCTCACACCAGCTGGAATCAGAGCCTGAGAGCAGAGGTGGAAAGAGTACTAAAATTTCCTACTTAACTCATTCAATCCAAACAACCATGCACACACACACACACACACACACACACACACACACACACACACACACTCACACACACACACTCACACCTAAGGACAGTTTAGACAGACCAATCAGCCTAACAGTCATGTTTTTGGACTGTGGGAGGAAGCCGGAGTACCCGGAGAGAACCCACGCATGCACAGGGAGAACATGCAAACTCCATGCAGAAAGATCCCAGGCCGGGAATCGAACCCAGGACCTTCTCGCTGCAAGGCAACAGCTCTAGCCACTGCGCAGCCCCCGAGATAATAGTTTTTAAAAAACAAGATGGTTATTATTATTGTCTACATTTTTACCGGGGTTTACCACCACACTGGTTACCATGACAACCCTACACCTGATCAGTTTGAGTTTTTGCAGGTTTAGGTAACAAAATGTGTTTTTGTTTGTTATTGCTGTCGCCGTGAATCACAGCGTCACAGCGTGAATCACAGCGACGTGAATCGTGACGTTCTCCGTCTGCAGGTTGAACCACGTGGGCGACTGGGGAACGCAGTTCGGGATGCTGATCGCTCACCTGCAGGATAAATTCCCTGACTACCTGACCGTCTCTCCTCCGATCGGTGACCTCCAGGCCTTCTACAAGGTTCAGTTTCATTCAGTTTTAATCTCCTTAAAATTTTTAGGTTTAAAATATTAGATTTTCTCAGACTTGTTAACAAACGTCTGTTATTTTTTCACTCAGGCATAAATAATTATTCCTGAGTACCTCAAACATTCTCAGTCCTCAGCCTGTTAGTCTGAAAAGGATTTTCCCAGCCTTTGAGTATAAATGCATAAATAAATCCGAGGCTGGTAAACGGATATTACACTTATTTAGTTTAGATTTAAAACTCAAAGCTCTTCATAAACGGTGTGACTGAACTTGCCTCCAACAGGAGTCGAAGAAGCGCTTCGATGAGGACGAAGACTTTAAGAAACGAGCGTATCGCTGCGTCGTCCGGCTGCAGAGCAAAGAGCCCGACTTCCTCAGAGCCTGGAACATGATCTGTGACGTTTCCAGGAGAGGTAGGACCCTTTTCTGTGTGACACGCTCAGCAGAAGCTGTATGAGCAGCAGCTCCAGGGTTCAGAGGGATGAACCTTCTGTTGCTTCTCTAACTTCCAGAGTTTCAGAAGGTCTACGACTGCCTGGACATCAAGCTGGTGGAGCGGGGCGAGTCGTACTACCAGGACCGCATGACCCGGGTGGTGAAGGAGTTCGAGGATAGAGGCGAGTCTGCTGGTGTTGGAAGGCCGAAGAAGATTCATAAAAATATCATAACCTTGTCATTTTTCTTTTAATAAGAAATGACCAAAAAAATTATTCTGGTACATTTTTAAGTAAAAAAAAAAGAAAAAAAAAAGAAAAATTTAACAGATTTTGATAAATTAAATAACAAAAATGAATTAAAATGATAAATTGAAGTTATTTTATTTTTTCTGTTCACTTTCAGAGTGAAAATATGAAATCAGTGGTTCCAACATCCTTAAAACAAATTAAACTCTATAACTAAAATGTTGTTTTTTTGCCAGAGGGAATCCGATTGGGTTCTGGAAACTTTCCACAACAAACTCAAAACGATGACATATATTTTTTTCTGTTTCCAAAAGCAGAGAAATCCCTTCAGTGGCAGAAATTCAAATATGGCTGAAATGTAGTTTTTACCCTCCTGCTGGTACTCGGTTCCACCACTAGGGGGTGCTGCTGTCTCAGAAATAGTTTCTCTGCCAGGATTCTTCTAGTTTTCCTCACACTAAAACCTTCATGATTTCTTTCTTATCATCATAAACCTTCCAGCTCCATAATCTTCCCAACCCTTTGTCCTCTTTTTCCATCCAGGTCTGGTGGAGCTGGACGAAGGACGTAAGATCGTCTTCACTCCAGGTCAGTCCCTCCCTCTCACCGTGGTCAAGTCCGATGGCGGCTACACTTACGACACATCAGACTTGGCGGCAGTGCATCAGCGACTCTTCGAGGAGAACGCCGACATCATCATCTACGTGACGGACAGCGGGCAGGTGGGTGGGGGACGGGTGAAAACGTGTCCAAAGATTTACAGAAGAGGACAAAACTGGAGATGTGAAGTTCTATGAATGTTCTGCATTTCCATTTCAGGGCCCACACTTCCAGCTGGTGTTCGCTGCTGCTCAAATGATCGGGTGGTACGACCCCAAGGTGACCCGGGTGGAGCACGCTGGCTTCGGCGTGGTGCTGGGGGAGGACAAGTGAGTCCACTACTATCAGAGCTGTCCCTGCTGGACGCTGAACCCCGTCCTGCTGACGCGTCTCGTTCTGGCTTGTTTCTCTTCTTCATCTCAAATTATCGAGGTTGTTAACCTGAAGCCATATTGCATCCTGTCTCCTGTTTCCACACTAGCTCCGCCCACATCTCTGGGTTCCACACTAGCTCCGCCCACATCTCTGGGTTCCACACTAGCTCCGCCCACATCTCTGGGTTCCACACTAGTGGGCCATTCCCATCTGTACCGGGTCGGCCCGGGCCGGGTAGCGTAGGTTGTTTACATATCTGGGTGGCCTGGTATTTTTCCGGGCCAACCAAGGCTCATTCTCAGCCCTCTTCTCGAGGGGTCTGCTTCAGGCCGACCAGGGCCAACACACCCACTGCTGACAGCAAATTCACACCTTCCATTAGAGCAAGCCTCTGATTGGTGGGTAGAATCAGCCCACATGGGCTTAAGGCAAGGATGTGTGGAATCAACCGGGCCAGGCTGGGGCCGACTGGGGCTACCCGGCCCGGGCCGACCCGGTACAGATGGGAATGGCCCATAGCTCCGCCCATGTCTCTGGGTTCCACACTAGCTCTGCCCATGCTTGCAGAACCTGAGCTTTCAAAGCTCTGCTCGTAGAGTTTTAATTGGTGTCTCTGCAGTTTTCACTGCTTTACTCTGAAAACTTCCCAGAGACGTCGGTCAGCTGGATGAAACCGCAGCAGCACAGGTAACGCATGATGTTTTCACCTGTTGAGATGGTGGAGTAGGGAATAGTAACCAGTTCAGTTTCACCCTTCACTCACCATAAGGTCCATTGTAGTCTTTTCAGAGTTTTTTTTATTTTTTTTACCCTTTTTCTGATTTTATATTTCAGAATAAAATAATCTTGGATGATAAAATGTTGAAATCTAGAAAAACACAATTAAAAAAATGATGGTAGAGCTCTGAAAAAAGCATTAAGTCTGATTTCACAAAACCCTAGTAAGAGCACGTGTGTGGTTACCATGGCGACACTGATTCACGCAACTTTAACATTTGTTCTTCCAAATGAAGGAATTTGTTCTGCCTATAGCTTTATAAAAAGTTCCTGATTAGTTTTTGGGACTTATGGAAGAAAGTTGATCGATTAAAAAAAAAAGTATTTAGAAGATCGGCTGTGAGTCGTTTGAGAGAATTGATGTTTTCCTGCTCAGGAAGAAGTTCAAGACTCGATCTGGAGACACGGTGAGGCTGATGGACCTGCTGGAGGAGGGCCTGAAGAGGTCCATGGACAAGCTGAAGGAAAAGGAGCGGGACAAGGTGAGAGGGTCTGATCACGGTTCTGGACTCAAACCAGCTGGCGGGTTTTACTCAGAGGAAGGAAAAAAACCTCTAAAAGCTGTTTTATTTGGTCCAAAACAGAAATAAACTAACTTACAAACTAGGAAACGGATTCTAAAGCTTTTTCAGCTATTTTTATTTTAACTTCACCACGATTTAGTGATTTTTGACTATTTATGAAGAAGAGAAACAAACGTTTAAGTTTCGTAAATCTGATGTTTTTGGTGATCTGCGTGTTTCACGACTTATTCTGCAGCAAGTTCAGAAGAATGGCTGAAAGGTTCAGTCTGCTGCTGCTTTAGCGGGTTTCTGTCCAGGTTTTCTGCTAAATGTTGGAAAAGCAGCCGTTTGGGGGGGGGGGGGGCTGTCCAGCGGGCAGCTCATTATTTCTGCCTCCAGCTTAAAGTTTAAGCACCAAAAAGGTCACTTCGTCCTGCAGAAGAAACACAAACTTTAGGTTTCATCCTCCTCCACGTTGGCCAGCTCTGAGTTTTCTGATTCTTCAGCTTTTCCTGTAAACCTCAGAGGAGAAGAGTTCGGGTTTGTTTTGCTACTACCTTTGGCTGAATCGTTGCCTCAGCAGGTTGGAGATTCTCATCCATCCTGGGCGTGATCATGAGATGTAACTGAAAACTTCCAGTGTTTCTGGTTATCTTGAAGACGTTTGACCTAATCCCAGAGGCTCCTTCCCTTCTAAACCTCGGGTTGTGAGCAGGAGGCTCAGAAGTTGTGGTCAGAAACGAACACACTGATTGTGCTGCGAGTTCTTGACATGTTTTTGTCTAAATGAACACTGACGTTGATGATATTGGTCCTTTGGCCCAGATCTTGTTATTTGATGACGGAGATTTAACGGACTGAACGTTCCTCCTGCAGGTTCTGACTCCAGACGAGCTCCTGAAGGCTCAGCGCGCCGTCGCCTTCGGCTGCATCAAGTACGCCGACCTGTCCCACAATCGCATCAACGACTACGTCTTCTCCTTCGACAAGATGCTGGACGACCGAGGAAACACGGCGGCGTACCTGCTCTACGCCTTCACCCGCATCAGGTGAGGAGTGATGTCCCGAACAGTCTCTGACCCAAAACGCCAGCAGAGCTCAGTGACCCCGACTTTCACGGGTTAATGAGAAACAGCTGATCTGCTGTTTTTACCTCTTAACTTCCTGGAATTCTGGAGACCGTCTCTGTGTTCTCCGGATCCCGACCTGAGGAACGTCCGGCTGCAGGCTTGTTTTTACTGTTGCGTTCCTAAGAGTGACTCTCAGGTCACAACAAGGGAATGCTGCTCATCAAACCTTTGGTATGATTCCCGTGGGTGTTCCGACCAGGAGGCATGAAGGATAGAATAATGAAGCTTGGATGGATCCAGGACTTCCAGATGGGGGTGAGAACTGGCTTGACAGGTTGGAAAAGGAAGCATTTTCCCATGAATCCTTGGCTCCTTATTGATGTGGCCGCCTCCTGCCAACATGGCGTCTGGTTTGGTTTCAGACCTGGAAGTTTTTCTCCTCCGCCTGTTCTTCCTGAAGCCCGACTAACTTTTCCCTGTTAGGAAACAAAGTTACACGGTGGAAGTGGATTAAGTCTAATTTGGAATGAGGATTCGTGTCTTCCTGGGTCAGCCGGAGTTCTGTAGACCAGCTAGATGGAGATAAAACCACTGAGGTTTTGCTAGAGGGCACTACGGCAGGCGGTGAGATTAATCACGACTCTGGTCTCCATCAGGTCCATCGCTCGCCTGGCCAACATCGATGAGTCCACGCTGAGGAGAGCAGCAGAGACCACGGAGATCGTTCTGGACCACGAGAAGGAGTGGAAGCTGGGGAAATGTATCCTGCGCTTCCCAGAGATCCTGCAGAAGATCTTGGAAGACCTGCTGCTCCACACGCTGTGTGACTACCTGTACGAGCTCGCCACCACCTTCACCGAGTTCTACGACAGCTGCTACTGCGTGGAGAAGGACCGGCAGACAGGTGAGCCTCCAGGTTCCTCACCCGGTTCGGACTCTGTAGCATTTGCTCCGAGAGCCTTCAGGTTCTTCTATGTAGGATTTGTCTTTATCCTCCAACCCCCATAAACCTTGCACGACCTGCCACGGCAAGCCTGAAGGACATTGATACCACCACAGCAGTCTCTTATGAGGCTGGACGAAATGGAAAAAAAACCATTGATTTTAAAATAATTATTGATTAACTATAAAAAAAATGTAGTAATATATTGAAGTGCAACCCTGGTAATATATGTTGTTGCTGTATGATAGTTTGTTACCAGTAGGGATGTGTGTTGGTGAAATTCTGGTGATACAATACTTATCACGATACGGGGAGACGATACGATATATCTCTATGTATTGCGATACATTCAGCCAGACGATATTAGCTATTTTATTTAGACTGAATTTATTGTAGGAAATTTCAACAAACAGTCCAAACTGATACTTAACATGTTTAACGTGAGGTATCCGAACCGTATCAGGGATTTACATTTCAATGGCGGAAGCAAAACCCTTTGCACACTGCTGCCAACTAGCGGTCGGTGTTTGAATTCCACCATAAGAAAAAAAGAAATACACGTTTGCATGTAAATTCTTCCAAAAATTAGATGCACGGTTTTTGAATATTGACTAAATATCGCAGGGGAAAAAAATCACGATATATTGCCGTATCGATATTTTCATCCATCCCTAGTTTGCTTTCGTAGACTTGCTTTCGTATTGCCCTGTTGCTGAACTACTGTAACATATTTTCTGGACAATTTGCTCCGCCTCTCCTCTCTGCGACATCTTATTTAAGTCATAGCCCGTTTGTTTAAGTTTGGGAGAGGAAGACTTGGTGATGGAGCAGTGCTGCAGCTATTGATTAATCTGCCACAGTGTTATCGATCGATTAATCAGATAAACCTTTATATTTCCTTTGGTTCGAAAATATGATAAAAGTGTAACAGAACAGTGCAAAATGTGAAAAACAAGTCAATAACCAGTATTTCTATAACAGTTATTATTCAACTCCTTTTTTTGCTGCCTCTTAAAGTAACACCGAACAGTTTCTCCGTCCTACCGGTAGAAAGTGGAATTACAGCAGTCACAAACAACAAACATTTCGTTCATTCATTTTATGTATAAAGCCCCTTTCCACCCCCAATCAAGGGGGCCCAAGGTGCTGAACATAGTGCAGAAAAGCAGCACAACAAAAGAGCTCTATAATAAAATACAGATTAAAAAAATGAAAATAGTGATCAAAAACATTAAAATGTGAATAAAAACCACTAAGAAATAGATCTAAAGTACAGCTTAAGCCTTGCTTTAAAAGTGGGCAGCGATGTGGACGGTTTGATTCTATAGATATTATAGAGAATTTCATTATGAATGAACGCAAACGACATTGTTCCTGTTGATTTTTGAACAAATGGGAAAAGGGGCAGGAAATTAAAAAAAGCTTATGCTTCTTCCTGCTCCCTTTGGGCATAATAATAATAAAATTTTACTTTGCTGAAATTATGTTATGATAAAAATGTTCAAATATGTTTAAATATGTTCAAATAAAAATATGTCATCATCATCATCATCATCATCATCATCATTCTTGTCGGAGTTGGTTCCAAAGCCGAGGACCCAGAACTGCAAAGGCACGTTCACCCCTAGACTTACGCATATCACTTACATGTCCAGTAGAAGTTTATTTATAGAACACTTTCACAGAGAAAAACAAACATACAATAGTCAACAAAACAGTACTTAAAACAGCGTTGCAACTAGTGGTGGGGAGGGATTATGGGAAAGACGACCAAAAACTAGAGCTAGGAGACTGGAGGTGAGTTGCCACTGGTTTGGGGAGGGCGTAGGTGTCCAGAAGGGTTCTGGAGAGAAGAAACCTGGGTAAAGAAAAGAGCAATCTGATCAGAAAATGTTTCTGCCTGGAGCTGAAGGTGTTTTTGTGCTCGTCTCCAGGTGAGGTGCTGAAGATCAACATGTGGAGGATGCTGCTTTGTGAAGCCACAGCCACCATCATGGCCAAATGCTTCGACATCCTGGGCATCAACCCGGTCCAGAGGATGTGATCCACACTGCCTCCACCCAAAACTCTCCAGAAGTCATTTTTCTCTTCTAAATCAAATTAAACCAAAACTTTGAGGAGAAAGTGTGAAGTCTGCTCGTTAGACGCGCCTCTGTGAAGGATCTTTTTTGAATAAAGAGCTGTTATGAAACTTAAATGTTTCGACTGTCAATCATTTTAAACTGTTTAAAATAACGACTTCAAATAAATAAAAGGACTCAGCTGCAAGTTTAACAAAACAGACATTTTCTCTAAGTGAAATAGTTCTGATCCTAGTTATCAGTTATCCTAGTTATCAGGAAAAGGTCAGACAGATCCGGGTCACTGGTTCAGTGGTTAGGGTTCGGCGTACCGCAGCACAACTATGGGCACCTGAAGGCTTTGCTGCTCTAATTGGTTGTGTCTGTGAGTGTGTGTGTCCTGTCACTGTTACCCGTTTGATCATGCGCCCTGGCTACTTGGACTAGGGAGATCTCCATTTGGCTGACTGGTTAATGCGCGTGTCTTTCACCCAGGAGTCTGGGGATCAAATCCCAATTGGACCATTTTTTTGATATCCGCCACAGATCTCTGAAGAACTCACAACATTGACGGCTTCAGCACCGCTGTGCCACTCCGTGGATTTTCTCTTATTTGTTTTGCAAAAGCACTTCCTTTCATTTCTCCACCTCACCCACAAGTACCTCAACTTCTGCTTCTGTGAAATTGCGCTTCCTTGATCTGCCTTGATCTACGGTCGCCATCGTCATTGGCGGAGCGCTGCAACAGCCGGCTTGTGTATATGCATGAGATCCACAAGGCACTTTGCATTGATTATTTATGGCAGTAAGTGCGTGGTGAGGGCAGGATGTGACTAAAAAGCAGCTGAGAAACATTCTCGTTAATCTCTGGTTTATGAAGCGGAGATTGCGTGCAGCTGTGCGTCCTCCATGTTTGATAGATCACAAACCTGCCTGGCGTAAGTACTTTTTTTTTTTTTGCTGAGCTTAAGTACGGTTTTAGTAAGGATTCTACGCCATGCTTTATAAATGAGACCCCAGGACATTAAAAGAAGGGATGTGTTTTCTTTATTATTATTATTCCGCCAACGGCTCGAGCGGCAGCGTGCACCCCCGCAAATGTTGCATCAAAACGAGCGGCCCGGCCGTGGTGAGTGTGACATTATGATTTTGGGCCTGGATAACACATGGCCTCTATCTTGTGCCAGCGGACAGGCCCCTTTCAGACTTTCTTCAGGATTTTTCTAGTTATTCACGTATTATTTAGCTCTCCTGCTGTTTTGTTACCTGCAGCAGTCGCTGGGTAATCAGACACAAGGTCCGCTGACGTCGTTAGGTCAGTTTTAGGGGGGCTTCAGCCCCCCTCAAATAATCACAAGCCCCGACTATCATTTTGAGTTTTTTTAGGGCCGGGACTTTAACGCGTTAATTATGATTAATTAGAAAAAAACGACACGTTAAAAAAATTTCACTCATTTAATTGCAGCTTGCATTTCGAGCATGGCGGAAGCTTTGTCATTGCACGACTTCCTCGTAGACAGAATGTCACTGACGCGCACAACAATGCACAGTGCTAATGGCTACTGAAACGGAATAAAAACAGAAAGAATTTGACTTGCTTGGACTGATGCAGGATTTAGGAAACCCGTCCGCCTCTTTTCTTAACTTGAAAAAAAAAAACTTCCAGACAACAACGGAGTCTGTGTCGCGGACATTTTTCAGAGATCGTCTCTGCTTCGGCTGCCCGGTGGCAACGGAAACTTTACAAAAGCTGCGGTAAGCTATTTTTTAACATTTACGTCACATCTGTGCAGCGCTGAAAGCACCAGACAGAATAATTCTGTGCCCTAACAGTAGTTTATGAAAGTAGTCAGACAAACGAGAGGCACCTGGCTGCCGCTGGGAGAACGCTACGTGTTCTCACTACTCTGTAAACAATCACAGACAACGTGTCTTAAAGTTGAAAACAGAAGTTTAAGTTGAAACGGAAACCCTCTGAAACTTTTCTGATGATTTTCTAAACAACTCTGTCGGGGAATTATATGTTTCTGAGACGAGTCTCTGTCTAAACATCACATGCATTACTATCATTAAGCAGCAGGTGTGCTGAAGCTGTCATCAGCTGAGGGGCGGATGCTTAAGTGCATCAGGGGCAGAGAGGAACAAGGAAGTTGTGATCAGGCTGGAGATCACACCAGATTCGCTGCTGCAGGCGTGAATCTGCGGGTCTGCAGCATCCCCTTATTAACGTGACATCAGGACTTCCCATGTAAGGAAGGTCTGCTCACCTGTTCGTCAGATCATTATTTCCTCGCCATGATCTTTTATCTTCCCATCATCCTCCAGTCATCCAACTGGAACCAGTTAGTGTTCCTGATCATTCTCAGAATATGTCACGCCTGCTCTGGTGTTAAAAGTTAGTACATTTATGTCCTAGATCATATTTGTGCCTGTTCTACTGTCATTTTGAAGGATTATTATTTATGTGTGTGTTTTTACTACATTATGAGTAGAAATGCTAATAAAAACTCCCAATTATACAAACGAGTGAAACTGGAAAAATTTGTATCTGGTGCAAAGTCAAATTTATTTCAGTAATTCAACTAGACAGAGAGACTATTTAAAGGCTCAGGAACCCTTTGCAGGCGTTTTCTATTTGTAATTATAAATTTTAGTTGATTTGGGTCTTGTTTCATATCACACAGTGACATTTGATTAATTAAAATGCATTTTTTTATTAAAAGCTTTAGTTTTACAGTAATAACTATGTCTAATGTTTAATTCTCTGTCTCATAATTGTAATTAAGTTTTGCTTTGAGAGCACATTTTCCTGAATGATTAAAATGTGATTAATTTAGGTCAATTAATTACAAAGCCTATAATTAATTAGATTAAAATTTTTAATCAAGTTCCAGCCCTAATTTTTATATATACTGTTATTTTGTCTTGTAATTGTTAATTACATACTCCTTTATTCCATATCATATCAGTGTTATTCATATATTAAAACTGTCAACTGCACACTCATTTGGCAGAGTAAAAGTTTGACAATTATTCATTTGTTCTTTGTCATATTTCAGTAACATTTATAATCAAGCAAGTTATAATTAAGCAAATTAAACAATTGACTGCAACATTTCCCCCTGTTAAGTGCAGTAGACTGAAATGAGTAGCTTTATTTGGAAATATAACATATCTAATTTTTAATGGACTTACATAAAATCTTTCTTCAACATAGACCCCACTAATGAACTGATTAAGTGTTATTTTTTTTATAAAAAGAAGAGAGAAAATGCACAAAGGTAGGAAAGGAAAAGAAAGTGATAAAATAATAGGTTTTGTTAAATGTTCTTCAGATAATGAATTAATTGACAAAGTTTTTGCAGGGTGTGACAAAAAATATTCAAGGTCAAACTCCTGGGGCTAAGCCCCCCTATCTCTCAATCCTAGTGACGTCTATGACAAGGTCTGATTTCTCTTTAAGGGTTTTGGGGGAAGCTGTAGCTGCTTTTCTCAGTTATTCAGTTCAGTTTATTTATGTAGCACCAAGTTCAACAGCAGTCATCTCAAAAAGCAAACACTGCAGTTGAACCTTTCGTATTAAACCGTGTCCTGAGTTCACTTCATTATTCTAATTAGTTATAATTTTCCTATCTAAGGAAACCCAGCAGATCTCATCGAGTCACTGACTTGTGTCAGTGATTTTACAGCAGTCCCTCCTACTGAGCAAGCAGGTCTTGTCCATCACAGTGACTCACTTACAGCTAGGGATAATTTAGAGTCACCAATTGACCTAAGCGTGTTTTTGGTGTGTTTTTGGCGTGTGGGGGGAACCCGAGCACCGGGAGAAAACCCACGCATTCATGGGGAGAACCTGCTAACTCCACGCAGAAAGGAAGCTGATCCGATTTGAACCAGTGACCTTTCTGTGAGGCAACAGTGCTAGCGACTGTGCCACCATGATGCCCTGTTTTTTTCCTTCTGTGTGTGTGTTGGGGGGGTCTTGTTTAGTTATCTTTTTTTTTTTTTTTTTTTATCTAAACAGGGTCTTTGGGGAGGCAGTGGCTGGTTTAACTTCTCAGATTCATCCTGGACAGTGCTGCCCGATGGGATGTCTTCTAATTAGCCTTTTCTGGTTAGTTAGGAGGGAGGTTAGTTGCTAGGTTGTCTGTTTTTGTGCTGACGGAGACATCCCGGTGTTACAGATTTCTTGAAACGCCTCCACACAGAAACTTTATCCAGTTTTTTTGTGCCAGAGTGTGGAGCGTCTCTCTGGGACATGAGGCTTTCTGCTAAAAGTACGATCTGCTCACTGATCGCTTCTGTTTGCTGATCTGGGTTAAAACGTTCAGTCTTTAGTCTCAAGATCAGATTTTGACTTTCCAGATTTGTAGTCCGTGACACGAGTTTAGAGACTTGTTTCTTCAGGATTCCCAACTCTTCCTCGTGCTGCGTTTTTCTTCTAAACAGACGTAACTGGAGGTTAACGATGATTTGAGACAGTTTTGTTTCTTTTTCCTCCATCTGTTCTAGTTTGGCCATCAAATCATCATGACCTGCACTGACCACGTCTCTGTTTTGGGCGAGCTCAGTCTCCAAACCAAGTCTGATCTTCTGCTCGTCTCTAAGCTGGTTTTCCAGGCTCTCACACAGGCCAGATGTTTCCTGGAGTTGCTGGGAAAGCTGGAGTCTGAGCTTCTGTTCGTTGGTGAAACCTGTTTCCAGGTTTTCACAGACGACAGATTTATCCTGGAGTTGATGTTTGAAGCTCTCCAGCTGCTCAACCAACTCCTTGTGAGAAGCAGCGTTCTCAGCGGTCAGGTTTTCCACGACCACTCTGAGTTCTGAGTTGCTCTGAGTCAGATCTTTGATGAAAATGTCCTTTTCTGAAAGCTGCTCCTTTAAATTCTCCAGCTTGTCAGTCAACTTCTGTTCTACGCTGATTTTCTCATCTTTTTCTCTGCTAAACATCGCTTCTAAGTCCAAATGTCGTTCCTCCAGTTTTTCAAAGTTCTCGATCAGAACATCTCTCGAGACTCCAGAAAAACGGGACTCGTCTGTCTCACCTTTTAGATCCGAGCAGATTTTTTGTAAATCTTCATTCACGTTTTTCTGCTCCTGTAACTGCTTTTCTAAAGCCACCAGCTTTTGTTGCTGCTGAACCAAACCGTTCTCCATCTCTTTAGTTTGCTCCTTGTAAAGCGCACACTGGTTCTCTGCAGCAAGCCTCTTCTCCTTCTCCTGATTGAAACAAGTATTTGTATTCTGCAGTTTTTCTTTCAAATGATCCACTTGTTTCAAAAGGTCACAGGATTTATCCTGGAGTTGATGTTTGAAGCTCTCCTGCTGCTCAGCCAACTCCTTGTGAGAAGCAGCGTTCTCAGCGGTCAGGTTTTCCACGACCACTCTGAGTTCAGAGTTGCTCCGAGTCAGATCTTTGATCTGCTCTTTAAGATCTGAGTTCTCACAGACTATCGTCCTGTTAGAGTCCAGCTGAGCCTCGTAGCTAACTCTGAGCTGCTTCTCCATGTCCAGACTGCTGCTAAGTTCTTCACAGACTGACATTTTTTCATGGAGCAGCTGCTTAAACTTCTGCAGATCCTCACACATCTGTTCTGATTTAGTTTCTACAGCCTGACCACTTCTCAGCGTCTGACTGAGCTCCAAGTTCTTCTGTTTCAGATCGTTGATCTCCTTCTTGAGATTTCCGTTCATTGAACTCATTTGATCTTTAGCTTTTTTCAGTTCTTCCTCACACGTCAGGCGGAGCTCGTTTTCTTTGTTCAAACGTTTCTCTAAATCTTCGCAGATTAGCTTCTTCTGTTTGAGCTGATGTTTAAAATTATTTCGCTCTTCCAGAAGTTTCATGTCTCTGTTCTTCAGATCCGTTTTAATGTTGTTCAGCAACTCAGAGAGGTCACCGTTCCTTTTCTTAAGATCTTTCATTTCCTTCTTATAGTTCTCGTTAACAGTGACTTTATGCTGGGCGTTCTTCTGCTCCTGGACACTAACGAGTCTGAACTGACGTTCTTGATCTAAATCTGTTTGCAGACTTTCGATGAAAACGTTCTTTTCTGAAAGCTGCTCCTTTAAATTCTCCAGCTTGTCAGTCAACTTCTGTTCTACGCTGATTTTCTCATCTTTTTCTCTGCTTAACATCACTTCTAAGTCCAAATATCGTTCCACCAGTTTTTCAAAGTTCTCGATCAGAACGTCTCTCGAGACTCCAGAAAAATGAGACTCGTCTGTCTCACCTCTTAGATCTGAGCAGATTTTTTGTAAATCTTCATTCACGTTTTTCTGCTCCTGTAACTGCTTTTCTAAAGCCACCAGCTTTTGTTGCTGCTGAACCAAACCGTTCTCCATCTCTTTAGTTTGCTCCTTGTAAAGCGCACACTGGTTCTCTGCAGCAAGCCTCTTCTCCTTCTCCTGATTGAAACAAGTATTTGTATTCTGCAGTTTTTCTTTCAAATGATCCACTTGTTTCAAAAGGTCACAGGATTTATCCTGGAGTTGGTGTTTGAAGCTCTCCTGCTGCTCAGCCAACTCCTTGTGAGAAGCAGCGTTCTCAGCGGTCAGGTTTTCCATGACCACTCTGAGTCCTGAGTTGCTCTGAGTCAGATCTTTGATGAAAATGTCCTTTTCTGAAAGCTGCTCCTTTAAATTCTCCAGCTTGTCAAGAAACTTCTTTTCTGCGTTGACTTTCTCATCTTTTTCTCTGCTAAACATCGCTTCTAAGTCCAAATGTCGTTGCTCCAGTTTTTCACACTGGTTCTCTGCAGCAAGCCTCTTCTCCTTCTCCTGATTGAAACAAGTATTTGTATTCTGCAGTTTTTCTTTCAAATGATCCACTTGTTTCAAAAGGTCATCAATTTGCCTGCTTTTAAAATCAACTAATTCCTGCTGAACCGTCTGAGGTCTAGGGACAACCGTCTCAGATCCAGAGATTTCCAGTTCAGCAGATAAATGAGTCTCATTAGGAAGAGACTCTTTCTCAGCATCAAAGACGAATGTATGTTCTGGCATCTCAGACTCCATCTCTTTAGTTGTAGACAGTAGATCTGACTTTTCGTCCTCACCATCAGAACTAAAGTCGATGACTAAATCATAATCCACTTCTACGTTGTTGACCCATAAGTCGTACCAGGACATGTTTGTGCTGTTCGTCATTTCAGCTAAAGTAAGGGGTTGTTGTGGCTTTCTTGGGCATTTAAAACCAGCTAATTCCCGCTGAACCATCTGAGATCTAGGGACCATCGTCTCAGAATCAGAGTCGACCGTCTCAGATCCAGGGATCTCCAGTTCAGCAGGTAATTTAGTCTCATAGTGAAGAGACTCTTTCTCAGCATCAAAGACAGATGTTTGTTCTGGCATCTCAGACTCCATCTCTTTAGTTGTAGACAGTAGATCTGACTTTTCGTACTCACCATAACAACTAAAGTCGATTAGTTCAGCGAAAGTAAGGGGTTGTTGTGGCTTTCTTGGTCGTTTAAAACCAGCTAATTCCCGCTGAACCGTCTGAGATCTAGGGAGCATCGTCTCAGAATCAGAGTCGACCGTCTCAGATCCAGGGAACTCCAGTTCAGCAGGTAATTTTGTCTCATAGTGAAGAGACTCTATCTCAGCATCAAAGGCGGATGTATGTTCTGTTTCATCAAACATATCATTTTCCATGTCTGACTCATAATCCATTTCTTCTGGGTGTAGACGTGACTCGTACCACGACACGTTTCTTCTGTTCATAATTTGAGTGACAAAAAGGGTTTGGTCAAACTTACTTGGGTGTTTAAAGACAGTGGTGTGTTCTCAGCAGTAGCTCTGAAGAGACTGAAGTGGTGCTGCACCTGCTGGTGGGCCTTTTATAGTCTCTGAATGTACCAAGTTAAAACCCCCCTTTATGATGTCACACACAGATTCTTCTATTGTGTTTGTTAGTGTTGTAATTATTAGTATTAGTATTGTAATTATTTTTATTATTATTAATAACAATAGTAATTATATTAGTATTAATATTAATATGAATAAAAACACTTTAATTAATGGAATCTTCCAGATTAAAGGCCTCCTTTATGATGTCACACACAGACTCTTCTATTGTGTTTGTAAGTGTTATTATTATCATCATTATTATTATTATTAGTAGTAGTAGTATTGTTATTATTCATAATAATAGTAATAATATTAGTAGTAATATTAATAAAAACACTTTAATTAATGGAATCTTCCAGATAAAAGGCCTCCTTTATGATGTCACACACAGACTCTTCTATTGTGTTTGTAATCATTATTATTACCATTATTATTATTATTATTATTATTATATTAATAAATGAAAACTTTAATTAATGGAATCTTCTAGAACTGGGAAGACACAATAGCTAAGTCTGTGTGACATCATAAAGGAGGGTTTCAGTCCAGAGACTATAAAAGGCCCACAAACAGCACTACTTCAGTCGTGTCAGTATTAACATTAATATTAATGGTACCATGTACCATTAATATGAATTAATATTAATATCAATTAATATGAATTGTTATTAATATCAATTAATATTAATCAATATGCATTAATAGTAATGGTTCAATCTACCATTAATATTAATTAATATTAATATTAATTAATATAAATGATACCATGTACCATTAATATTAACATCAATTAATATTAATTATTAATATCAATTAATATATCAATTAACATATTAATAGTTCAATCTACCACTAATATTAATTAATATTAATATTAATTAAATAAGGGCCCTTCTGCTTTGCCAGATGAAGAAGGGAGTACCTGAATGTGTCTCTATTATCACTAAGAAATGATCAAGTTAAAGTTCTTGCGGGCCACATAAATGAAATTTTGTTTATTATAAAAAATTGCTAATATTATTTTATTATAGTTTTATTTTTTCATTTTACTCCTCATATTTCTGATTTTTAAAAATAAACATAAAAAGTGTCATAAAAATGTAAAAAGTGTTGATAAACTTCAATAGGCTTATGGAGAGAAATGATTGTAGAAATGCAAGAGAGACCCGCACACAATCACCCTGACGACCATAGATGGCCCCGGGCCATGCCTGTTAGCATCTTTGTGTGTGTGTGTGTGTGTGTGTGTGTGTGGACAATAAGTTTATATATTTAGGACAGTGCATGTTAATGAACATAAATGTAAAAGCAGCTTACATGAATGTAAACATGCCAGATTATAGCCAAAGGCTAATTTCCATCTGTTGTCCTTAGACATAAAAAGACATAATAATTCATAAAAATTCATCATTCATTCATAATAAAAACTCCATCACCAAACTTACACATACACACCATTCTATTCACAAATAACACATTAAAACTATACAACTCATACATGATCACACACTTTATTTGTCCAAAACCAGTTTTTAACCTTAGCCTTAAACAAATTGAAAGTCGAGCATTCTCTAATGGGCTGAGGAAGACTGTTCCACAGATGGCCACCATTGACAGAGAGGACGTTCTGCCCAAAAGCTGTCCGTCTATGTGGTGTAAACATTTCTCCTCGAGTTGTAGCTCGTGTAGTCCTGTTTTGAGCTTTCTTTATGCCTAATGAACTGCTTTAGTGGTGGTGGAGCAAGGGAGTGTAAGACGTTACATATTAAACAGACACTTTGAAGTTTCATTAAGTTATTGAAGTTCAGTAATTTATGTTTTTTTAACACATGACAATGGTGGTGGGAAGTCGGTTTTTTGTCAAGTAATTTTAAACTTCTTTTATAAATGTTTGCAATAGTTTTAAGTGTTGTTGGACAAGCAAGTGACCAGGATGTCAAACAATAGTCCATATGAGAGATGATCATTGAGTAAAAATACGTTTTTGCAACATTCATATTTAGATTATTACGTATATGAGTCAAATTTCGATTATTAAATTTAAGTACCTGGGACACTTTGATTAGATGACTCTTGAAGGATAATGTAGGGTCTAGAATGACCCCAAGGTATTTAAATTCTGGTACTAGATCAAGCTCTACTCCATCCAGAAATATATTTGACTGCTTCAAGTTTAAGGGGCGTTTTGAAAAATCATCATCCGCATACATTTGAGCAAATATATTTAGACATACTTCAGGTAAGTTATTAATAAAAAAACTGTTTTTAGCTCATTTGTCTCCTGAGTTTCTCTGTATGAAGGTCAGGTTATTGCAAAAATCATGACATTAGCAATTGCACCACTCTGTTAAACAGCTGATATTAATTTCAAGTGTATCTTTGAAAATACATTGAATGTCAAAGTGAATGAAAGGCATCCATTCAGCTTTCAGTGTCTAATGCAGGATTTTATGGACAGGCACCAAAACAGGAAATTTATAAATTGAGATTTATTTACTAAATCAGGTAAACCATAATAAAATACTAATGTTTAAATTCCAGAGGAGGGAGGAAGGCTTTATAGCAGCATCCATATAGCTGGTATCCAGCACATTTTAGTTGTTTCCCTGCTCCAACACACTTGAATCAGTGGTTGAATTACCTGTGCAGCAGCTCTGCAGAAGCCTGTTAATTATCTGCTGACTGAAATCAGGTGTGTTGAAACAGAGTTAAAACTAAAACGTGCTGGATACCAGCCTTCCAGGCCCAGAAGTAAATACCCCTGCTTTATAGGCGCAGAGAACTCCCATCATGATCCTGGAGACGGCACAAGGACGACATGAGTGTGCCCTCCCAGATCACACCAACACCACCTGACCACACGGAGGCACGTGTAAGAAAGAAAAACTGGGTGCCCAACATTATTATTTTTCTTTTTAACTTTGATTAAAAATGATCTCCGTCAGTCGTTTATCTGGAGTTGGGTCGCGGGGGCAGCAGCCTAAGCTGGGACGCCCAGACTTCCCTCACCCCAGCCACTTGAGCCAGCTCCTCCAGGGGAATCCCAAGGCGTTCCCTGGCCAGCCGAGAGACATAGTCCCCCCAGTGTGTCCTGGGTCTCCCTTTAGGTCTCCTCCCGGTTGGACGTGCCCAGAAAACCTAACCAAAGAGGCGACCAGGAGACATCCTGACCAGATGCCCAAACCACCTCATCTGGCTCCTCTCGATGTGGAGGAGCAGCAGTTCTACTGCAAACCCCTCCCGGATGGCCGAGCTTCTCACCCTATCTCTAAGGGAGAGCCCAGCCACCCTGCGGAGAAAACCCATTTCGGCCACTTGAATCCGCAATCTTGTTCTTTCGGTCACTACCCAAAGCTAATGACCATAGGAGAGCTAGGGTAGGAACGTAGATTGACCGGTAAATCAAGAGCTTTGCTTTCTGGCTCAGCTCTCTCTTCACCATGACAGACCGGTCCAACGCATCACTGCAGTCGCAGCACCAATCTGCCCATCCATTTCATGGTCCAGCTTTCTTTAAAATAATCTGAAAAATAAAAGTCAATATATTTTTACACGGGGTCCAAAATCCCTGTCAGCACCCGCGGCTCGGTGCTGCTCTTGGTTGACAGGAGTGTTTTAATATTTGAACAAAAGTGTCATTTGTTGGCAGCATGGACGTAATTTTGGGGGGGACAGGGGGGAAATGTCCCCCCCACTTTTTCCAAAGTCAAGTTTTGACCCTTGCACTTTTTACCATCCAAAAACACTATTACGCTATTTTCTCATCACCGGCAGCTCGGTCCGCTCCCTCATCCGCACTGCTGGGTGCAGCGAGGAAGAGGAGGAGGGGTGGATGAGTGAGGGGGTAGAGAGGAGGAAGGGGCTCACTCGGGCTGCCCTATATGGCTTTGGATGAGCTCTATGCTAATATCGGCTCCAGAGGCTGAAGCATCGCGTTTCTGCCGGCAGTCAGCGGTGGCCTCCAGAGTCTGAGGAGGCTCCTTCACAGCCATGGCTGAGGGCGGAGAAGGGGAGGATTAGATCCAGTTCCTGAGAACAGTAAGTAAGACCCCAAAACCATCCCCGCGGTAGTTACAGCTCTTTCTTTTTGAATTTCTTTTGATGCTCAGTGAGAGGAACATGCCGCAGGTCGCGCTGCGCACCTGTCGGCAGGACTCGTGATGATGATGATGATGATGAGGGGAACTTAGTCTTCATGAGATCATGAGGTGCATGTAGAAGCAAAACACTCCAGTTCACTCATTTATCAGAGTTAAAACCGTCCATCGCTGCTGGTTTATACCGTTTAGAGTTTTTATGGAGAGGACTAGTTCCCCTCAAGGAGAAGAGTTTCAAACCCAAGTTGTCCTTCCAGGCAAACCTCGCTCGCGGTGCTTATTTTAGTGGTTTGACGCAGATCGATTACCGCTTTGGTCTCTGCTCGGTGTTGTAAATGATATGACAGCTTGTATGCTGGTGTGGTGGGAACACAAACCCACCGAGCTGGCCTGACCAGGCACTTTTCTAATTCTCCTCAAGCTTTGTGATCCTCCTGTTGCACAAACAGTCAACCAATCAGGTTTAAGAGCGCATCCACCTGTTAGTGTTCTTGGTGTAAATTGTGCAAATGTAGTTTTTCTTGTTTTGTCTGTTGTCAGCTGTGTAGCAGAATACTCTGGACTAAGGTTCTGGCACCTAATGGTTTGCAGGTTCCTTTCCATACCTATAAAACTATCCTGTTCTTGGATGTTAACCATCCCACTGTCCTAATGGGTATGACCCCGCTAGGAAAGTTGACCATTGAGCAGGATTGATGGTTTATCCCTTGGGTCCACGTGGCAGGGGTGAGGTGGTGCTCACTCCTCACCCCTGCCACATGGAGCCAAGGGATGAACCATCAATCCTGCTCAATGGTCAACTTTCCTCACGTGGTCACCCATTAGGACAGTGGGAGGGTTAATGAAATAATTGGAATTTTTTTGTGAACTCCTGCT